ATGCTGAAATGAAGCACGTTAGATTTTTGTTTTCATAGAAATTATGTGACAGACTTGTTTCAAATTCTCTAGCAAACGTTGTAGCTTCTTGGCTGGATGTACATGTGTGTAAAATGTAACATAATAAGACTACTATATAGAACAGTGATTTACTGAAGTACCAGTACAGTACACTGGTAACTCTTTACCAGTACAGTACACTGGTAAGTCTGTACCAGTACAGTACACTGGTAACTCTTTACCAGTACAGTACACTGGTAACTCTTTACCAGTACAGTACACTGGTAACTCTTTACCAGTACAGTACACTGGTAACTCTTTACCAGTACAGTACACTGGTAAGTCTGTACCAGTACAGTACACTGGTAAGTCTGTACCAGTACAGTACACTGGTAACTCTTTACCAGTACAGTACACTGGTAAGTCTGTACCAGTACAGTACACTGGTAACTCTTTACCAGTACAGTACACTGGTAACTCTTTACCAGTACAGTACACTGGTAACTCTTTACCAGTACAGTACACTGGTAAGTCTGTACCAGTACAGTACACTGGTAACTCTTTACCAGTACAGTACACTGGTAACTCTTTACCAGTACAGTACACTGGTAACTAGTACTGCAAGACTAGCTCAACCTCAATCTAGTCCCTATACTTTGGTAACAAAACTAGCTTGCAAATAGCCATAGCCAAATAAGAATCAATCTAATCCTATCATTAATTTGCTTCTCACAAATTTCCCCATCGGTTTCTTGTCATAGAAACTAAAGAAGATTGGTAAAGGATTGGTCGCTTTTGGAGGGGAATTCCCTTGAGGATCCAAGATGAAGCAGTAGCAGAACCAAAAAAAGCACAAAAAAAGTCTATTGATGTCCCCAGAAGATCTTTTCTTTCTTTAGTTGATGGCTTTGATGACCCTCTTGAAAGAGAAAACAATATTTCACCTAAAAGAACTCTCCAAAAAATGACAAAATGCTAAAAGGAACACTCATTTTTCAAAATCCTTTCTTTCGGATATGCACTGGAAATGTTTGTTTAGGGATCGAGTTACAAAAGTTGTGTTTCTTTATGAGATTTTGGGATTACTGTAGAATAAAGGTAAAGCAGAAGTTAGAAGTTAGAAAACTAGAAGTTAGAAAACAAAACAAGACAAAAAAGGCTAAAACAAAACAAGATTTGATTGAATCTGAATCTGGACAAAATTCTGAAGCAAATTTTCTGAATAGCTGAATATCTTGATAGAAAATTTCGTTTTTAAAGACATTCTATTAATTGAAGAGCTTGAGAGCTTGAGAGCTTGAGAGCTTGAGAGCTTGAGAGCTTGAGAGCTTGAGAGCTTGAGAGCTTGAGAGCTTGAGAGCTTGAGAGCTTGAGAGCTTGAGAGCTTGAGAGCTTGAGAGCTTGAGATTTTAACTAAATACGAAACATATTAACTCAAAAAGATTCCATAAAGTTCTTTCTTTGAGGCTTTTCAATCTATGAGCTGAATCCGTTGCCCATTCTCCTTGATACGACAGCCGACAATCATTTGTCTTCTTAAGAGAAAATCCATAGGATCTTGTTTGGGAGCTCAATTCAGCAGTCAGTGCCTCGAGAATTCCCAATTTTCCCTGCTACCCCCGGAAAGCAGAAAGAAGAAAGACCAACGAAAGGGAATTGACTTCAGGGAAAAGAAAAGAAGTCATTTCGATCATCCCATTGACACCACAATTCACTTTAATTTGAAGCAATGGGTGAATTGGAAGAATGGGGGAACAAGCGTTTAATATGTTTCTTGAATTAACAAACTATAAGCTATTGCTATAAATAGCTATCTATAGCTATATATAGCAATAGCTTATAGTCCAGTTCAATCTATCTATATATAGCTATACTACAAGCTGCTGTAGTTATTCCAGTAGTAAACTAGACTTGCAGAAAACTCTCTCTAGATAATCTCGTAGTCTATTCATGTCCTCAGAAGCTCTTTTTTTTCTTTAGTTGATGGCAAAATCCTTTACGTACAAAATCCAAGAACAAGAGTTGGGCTGGAGATTGAAAAAAGGCTAATCTAATAGCAAGGTTAAGTTAAAAAAATGTAGGTGATGTGAAAGAATAGCTGTTTTACTATTCGTTCTAGAATCTACAGTTGAATAAGCAAAGTATTTCGGTTTTTTTAAAGTACAAACTAAAGATCAGTAAGTTAACAAAGCCTAAACGATGTTCAGAACTGGAAGATAATCTAGAATTCTTTCTCACGTTATGAATAGAATTCTTTCTCACGTTAGTTAGCTTCATTTCAAGTCCGCAATGTTACAATGTATAAATTCTGGATAAAGTATCAATCTATAAAAGAAAAACGAAGCCCTAAAGCCGTAGAAATCAATCGAATAAAAATATTATTAGGTTGTCCAGTTATAAATGCGCGTTTTTAAGATAACAACTCTTTATTTCAAAACCAACAGTTTAACAGCTCAATCAACAATATATTCACCATTTGTTAACATTATTTGTTTCCATCTTCCATGCAAAGAATGAATTCCCTCCGCGTAAAAATTGGCTTGTTTTGAGGCAAAGAAGTCGGCTATCCATTTTTCGACCTCTTGAACTTCTTTGAACTTGTTTCCGGCCAAGTGGCTTCGCATTGAGCGAAATAAATGGTAATCCGAAGGAGAAATATCCGGAGAATATGGCGGATGCGGGAGAGTTTCCCAGCCCAACTCTTCGAGTTTTTCCTGAACAATCTTTGCAACGTGTGGACGGGCGTTATCTTGAATGAACTTTATGTTTGAAGGATCAAGGCCTTTTTGTAGCAATACATTGTTCACTGGTTCCAGTTGTTGTGCATACGTTTCACCCGTGATTGTTTGCCCAGGTTTAAGCAGCTCAAAATACCCAATGCCTTGGGAATTCCACCAGACAGTAGGCATTACTTTCTTGTCAAGGAAGTCGGGTTTTGGTGTTGGTATTGGCTCCACACCAGGTTCTAGCCTTTGCCGTTTTCGTGTAGAATTATCATATTGAATCCATTTTTCATCGCAAGTAAGGATTTCATCGTAAAACCCAGTATTTTTTTTTGGCAAACGAAGAAGAATACCCGCCATAGTGACACGAGTAGCTTTATTGGCATTGCTGAGAAGATGAGGACCCATTTCCCTTGTCGGCTTGTTTTCCCCAATTGATTTAAATGCTCGGAAATGGTTTGAGGGCTTACTCTAAATATTTCTGCAAGTTCATGCGTCGTTTGTCGAGGATCCATTTCTATCGCCTGCTTCAGTAGTGCATTATCGATCGCAGGAGGTCGTCGTTGGTGGTCTTCGTCTTCCAAAGATTCATTTCCTTCTCGAAATCGTTGAAACCATCGGCGACCGAAATAGCATCTTCGCCAAATACTTTGCAGAGATCTCGATGGGATTCAACGGCATTTTTGCCCAATTTGAAGTCATAACAAAGACTGGCACGATGACGAAACTTCGTCTCGGACATTTAAACACGGAAATTAAATCAAAAATGAATTAGTTTAACGTCAAAAACACGAAAAGTTGTAATAAATAAGAAATCTTGAACAACATATAGAGAATAGGGTTTGATAAAATTGTATAGCCCTAAGGTAAGCTGTTCAAGAGCAGGCGCGCATTCATAACTGGACAACCTAATACTTCACTATATTGGAAACAGAACTATTGCAAGTGCGGGAGAGCTGGATATTCCAGTGAACAAAGCTCTAATTGCAGAGTGATCAAAAGAGTAAAAAGAATGGAGAAGAGCTGTACTCTGGGGGACATTATACCCCGGGCATAATCCCCTGAACGATCGGAAAGCCGCTAACCACCGCTCCCTTCACCTCCCCTCCACCCTTCTGTCACTCCCCTCAACCCCATTTATCTACTGTTCACCCCACTCAAGATAAAGCTAAAATAGCTAGCTAAAAGCCTAAAACCTAATTCTAATTCGCTTTTTAAACTGATCTATAGCAATCTTTTAAAACAATTTTCAAAACAATTTTCAAACCCATCTTTCTCCAAAAAACAAACCTAGTATTAAAGAATTTGAGAAAAAAATGAAAACGGGAATATTCAGTGAAGAGAAATAACTCTCAATTTTTGCGTATCGCCTTGTTTGTGTGGCTTTTCGGCGATTCTGGTTGGCTTTCACATAGGCTCTCCTTTTTTGGACGCTTTTTTTTAGGATTCTCCAGCCCTGAGGGTGAAAAAGATGGCCAAAAGAAATCTTTGGCCTCTCTCATTTCTAGATGCATCTCTTTAAGCAGAAAGAGGGTCAAGCCAATTCGGAAAAAGCTCGTAAGAGTGGCAACAATCAAGCCAAGATATAATTTATGAATTCTTACTTAAAAAGAAGGATTAAAAAGAAGATCCATTCGAAATAAGACTATTACAAAACAAAACAAAACAAAAAAAAACAAAATTCAAGTCCAGAGCAAGACCAAAACTAGTTTAAAAACAAAGATGATCTGGTAAATTCGCTTCTTTTTCTGAAAGCTCTTAACTTTATATGGACCAAATATACCCTTTTCTCTAACTAGCCAGAAGCTAAAGCCTTCTTTGGCTTTGTACAAAGGGTACAAAGGGTACAAAGCCAACGAAGGCTTTAGCTTTTTCCAACACCCCATTTCCGAAACGCCTCTCTTTGCAACGACTGCGTGCATTTTTGATCACCGACACCCCATGTGAATTGTTTCTGGGGTGTAAATAGGAATAGTTAGCAGTGAGAGAAAGGAAAGACAAGTATCAACCATGAATTTTAAAGTAACGATCGTGAATCTGAATGAAGGGGATAAACTCAGATCTTTTGGATTTGGAAATCTAAAGTTTGAGCTTTAAAAGCTTTAGCTTAAAGCTTAAAATCTCATGTAAGCAAGTATTAACGGAATTTCGGTTTTTGTGTAAGGAAAACTATCGAAAAATAAAGCGCGAGAAGATTATTCCAAGATTTATTCCCCATCACATCTATAATCAAGTTCCATGTTTTTGTGTAGACTTCGGAGACCCTCAAAGAATGAAATGAGGGATTTTCTGAGCAATGAGGAGCTTTTCTTAAAAAAGGTACTCCTTTTCCGATGACAGCTCGTTTACTAGATTTTGCCCGCAAGAAGTTGCTGCATCAATAAGTGATATTCGGAAGGTACAAGATCAGAACTGGAGGAAGTCTTTCTAGAGCATCATCTTTGAACTCCAGCTCAAGTCTTCCCTTTCTAGAGCATCATCTTTGAACTCCAGCTCAAGTCTTCCCTTTCTAGAGCATCATCTTTGAACTCCAGCTCAAGTCTTCCCTTTCTAGGGCATGATCTTTCAACTCCAGCTCAAGTCTTGGCCTTTCTAGGGCATGATCTTTCGACTCCAGCTCAAGTCTTGGCCTTTCTAGAGCATCATCTTTGAACTCCAGCTCAAGTCTTCCCTTTCTAGGGCATGGTCTTTGAACCCAACACCTCTTTCTACTGTGTATTAAAAATTTGGAGTATGTATAGATGATGAACTCAAGTTTTTCAAACTTTTAGCATTGATTTCAGCTATTAGTAGCATCGCTTAAAGCTTTTAAAATATTCATATGAAATTAAACAGTCGATTCTCCAAATTTATGACCTTATAAGGCACAAGTTCTGACTTTTTTGATCAGTCTTTCATCAGCGATCAAAGGAGTTTTTTCCCCAAAGGATAACGAAGCTTTAAAGCTAATTCCAGAAGTGAAATTTAAGGAATAAATAAAGGTATAAAATTAAAAGAAACTGCGAAAGTTTTGGCGTGTAAGAACACGCAAAACTTGGTATTTAAAAACGCGAAATTGCTTCTTAAACATAAACATATAAACAGGATATATAAAGAGGTACAGTGTAAACAGTTTAAGCGTTTTAATATAAAGAAATATTATATAAACATATAAACTCTATATAATACTATATAATATATAAAAGGCTTTAATATAAACAGGCTAAACCACATAGAATTTTTGTTAATCAAAGTCAATCAATCAAAGTTTATATTATATTTCAGCTCTGCCCAAGGTTTTCTTGAAAAAGAACTCAAAAATCTGTGCAAAATCTAGCTTCTAGGGTTGAAAACCGTTTGAATACCATAAACAAAAATAGTTAGCAATAAAACAAAGCAATAAAACAAAGCAATAAAACAAAGCAATGAACCCTTCCAGGGTTACCTCTCCGAAGCTGGAGCTTCACTGATCGATCGTCGATTGGGTTTGAACATTGTGCCCACAACGGGAATCGTCGAACTGGCCGCCCCGACTTTCTTCTATGGAAGACTTGACCGAGCGAAAGCGAGGACAAAAGAAAGAATTCGATCAAGATATCCAGACATTGGGAGAAGATTTCATCGAATTGGATTGCCACCGAAGGTTTGCATTGATAGCTTGGCTGGGTGTTGGATATGGTAATAGATTGCTGTCTGTTATATGGTTACAGATTGCTGTCTGTTATATGGTTACAGATTGCTGTCTAGATACAGTTACAGTTACAGATAACAAACTTTCTGGAAAGCCTAATAATATTGTAAGCTTATGAGGCAAAAAAAAAATCATTATGAAAACTTAAAACTTTCATGTGAAAACTTTTTGAGTTTAATGCCATTGAATTATTTAGACGGGCAGCTTTCAACTCTTTGTCACCGGATATCAGGATGCGTGTCATTGGCTGAAAATGTGGGAACAAGTAAGTGAAAGATCAACAAGATCTTTAAAGGACAAGGAAATAACTTTAAAAGTTTAGCATTTTCAGTTAGCATTCAATTTTCAGTTTCCCGAACAAGCCCCACCGCCGGTCACCCAGCGCGAGTTTCAACTCCAATTCGAGAAGATGGTCGTCCTTGACTATATCATTCGGAATACAGGTAAGCTATGACTAAATAAGAGATATTCTTATGGATAGATGTAATCTGGGATGTTACAACCATTTCTGGACTTGCGAGTCTGCTTTTTGGTGGGTTCAGGAATGGCACTAGATCACTGTGGCCTTTCCAAATGAAACCTAGCCTATCCTATGCAGTTTTTTTAACGCTGATTCCGAATCCGGTTTTAGTTTTTGCAGAACGCAAATGCGAGATATTTGGTAAACAAGTTTTAGGTTAGCTAAACTTTAATCTTAAGCTTTAATGCTTTAAAGCCAGCTTATAAAAATCTTAAGGAAGTCTTTCAACAGTAGTACAATGGATAATGGTACTGTCTACGAATCCTATCAAAAATCATAGCCTAATTTCGAATCCTTTAGCTGAAAAAGCTTTTACTGATAAAGCTTTTACTGATGAAGCTTTTACTAATAAAGCTTTTTACTTCTATTTTTAAAAACAATTTTTGATTTTGGATAAGCTTTTTATCGAAAGCTATTATAAAATAAAGGAATTTGGATCAAAGATCAGAGAAAAAGTAATCAAATCAACTTGGGTCAGGCTTGCATCAAATCCAACTTAGGTAAAGCAAGATATCACCGTTTTATATCTATCAAAACACATAAAATTTCCCAATTTCTTGCTTACTATCATTCCAATAAATGAATAGATTCATCTCTATTCGCTTGAGTGAACTAATCGCTGTCACATGCCTTGAAATGAATCTAATAGTGAAGAGGAGATGTGTCCATATGGAAAAGGGACAAAGATTCATATCTTTTCAGATTTGAGTAAAGAAGAAACTCTGAAATTAGAGATAGAGAATCTGAAATGGAGAGAAATACATAAATTTGGATAATTAATGAAATAAAAAGCACTTTTCAGATCGTGGAAACGACAATTGGTTGATCAAATACGAGCAAGCCGAAGTCGTCGATCTGCCAGATGTAAAATCCCTCGAAAATGAGGATATCGCTGTGCCAATGGATCCAGAAATCAATAAACCAAGCGAGTCGCCAAATCCGGTAAATTTAAATGTTGTTCTTTATTCTTGCAAACGCTTACCTTCAGCCAAATGATCAATTGATCGACTTGGGCGAGAGCTCGTCAAGCAGCATTCCCACGGAGCCGATTCCAGGAAATGAAGGTTTTCATTTTTATCTATTGAGAAGTTTGTAAGATTCAAATAATTCTGTTTTTTTATCTGTCTTAGCACTTAGGTGTTCCTATTTGCGCAGATCACAACCTGCTTCCACATTTCTCTATCCCTTGCTATTGTCATCCAGTGTTTGCTATCTTGGTTGTTCCTGGTCCGGAGTCTTCGACTTGCTTGTGCTGGTGGTGGTTGCACTCTAGCCATCCTTTCTATGACCGTCTCTGACCGTCGCTGCCACTCTTGTGCTCCACCTCGTTGTTGGTCTTCCGATGGGCCTCTTCTGGTCTCGTGGTAGCCACTCTGTGATCCGTATCGTCCATCTGTCGTCTGTTCTTCTGGCTACGTGGCCGGTCCATCTGGGTCTTTTTCTCTCGATCACTTCCACTGGAGTCCTCTGAGTCCCGAGAGCTGGCGCATATCCGTACTTCGTAGGTGCGCTGCGTCTTCCTATTGTGCCCTCGATATAACAATTTGGGTTAAAAGCCTTGTTTTCCACTTTTATATAACGAGTTTCGATTTAAAGATTCCATTTCGCGGTTCCGACAGAATCGTTGTATCGAGAGTCGACTGTACTTGATAAACTGTAAGCTAACAATCAAACCAGAATGAAATTTTTCTCGAAAATTCTCCCCTTTATAAACTGCCCGTTACCGTAATGCCGACAAAGACTTCTGGGGCACATTATAGAATTCAGCGGAACATCGAAAATCCACAAAATCATATTTCAGTACTAACCGAGAAACGAGCTGAGGACTCTCGTCCACAACCGGCCGAAGTCGAATGGGCTGATGTTACAGTGCCAAAGGTAACTGAAGATTTTAGTTGAAAACTTTGTTTGTGCAAATAATGCCCTCGTGGAATATTATTATTAAAGCTTTATTCATTTCAGATTTAAACTTTGAAACGTATGACGTTTGAATGGTTACACAGGGCGGCGCACAATTTTGAAAACTCCGTTTTTCGACTATAACTCAATGCTCAATTATCTGATTCCTCTAATTTCATATTTATATGAAATTTCAAGTTCATTCCTGCTGTCGATTTCAATTTTTAGTTCACAAACACAGCGTTACGCTTTTTATAATACTTCGAAGTTCAAAGGTGCCAACCACTAAAACGACGATTCTGCCGAGAGAGTTGGCACCTTTGAACTTCGAAGTATTATAAAAAGCGTAACGCTGTGTTTTTGAACTAAAAATTGAAATTGAAGGCAGAAATGAACTTGAAATTTCATCTAAATATGAAATTTGAGGAATCGGATAATTGAGCATTGAGTTACAGGCGAAAACCCGAGTTTCCATAAGTGTGCGCCACTCTGTAGAGTCTAAAGTGTCATCCATTTTGTCTCCATCTTGCATCCATCTTACAGAAAATTTCTCTAGAAGTTTTTGTTATTATTCATGTCCAATACAAGTCTTAAAACATTTTCTGGAGGAAGTAAAAGCTTTATAAATTTAGGTAAAGCTCGCTGCTATCGATAACGGCTTGGCTTTCCCATTCAAACATCCGGACGAGTGGAGAGCTTGTAAGTCTCGGAAATCAGAAATTGATTGATAAAGCTCAGGATCAGGCTCAGGCTCAGGCCCAGGCTTAGGCTTAGGCTTAGGCTTAGACTTAGGCTCAGGCTCAGGCTCAGGCTCAGGCTTAGGCTCAGGCTTAGGCTTAGACTTAGGCTTAGGGCTTAGGCTTAGGCTTAGGCTTAGGCTCAGGCTCAGGCTCAGGCTCAGACTTAGACTTAGGCTTAGGCTCAGGCCCAGGCTTAGGCTCAGGCTTAGACTTAGGCTTAGGCTCAGGCTTAGGCTCAGGCTTAGGCTCAGGCTTAGGCTCAGGCTTAGACTTAGGCTCAGGCCCAGGCTTAGGCTCAGGCTTAGGCTCAGGCTTAGGCTCAGGCTTAGACTTAGGCTTAGGCTCAGGCCCAGGCTTAGGCTCAGGCTTAGACTTAGGCTTACAGCTTACAATTACATAAAGCTTACATTTTGATTGCTCTCATCGAATTTGTTTATTTATAAAGCATAAATAAGTCTAGGTCTAGTACTGAGTTTTATACTTTTCACATCGAATTTCTTTTAGATCCATTCGGCTGGGCATTCCTCCCCTGTGCTCGTCAGACTTTCTCTCAAGAAATCGTCGATTTAATCCTCCCACAATTGGACGATATCGACTTTGTGAGATCGCTTGGAGAGGAACTTAAACTATTGTTTAAAGTATAATGAAATAAGCTAGCAATTTGAATAGGGAATTTTCAGAAAGATAAAGGATTCGATAAGAGGAATTTCGAGAAGCAGCTGAGCGTGATGCGCGGTCAAATTTTCAATCTCCGAGAAGCGCTCCGAACTGCAAAAAGTCCTTTCCAACTTGTGATGGTCAGTGTATGAACAATTTCTAGGCTTCTTTTTAATCTTGGCGCATTGATATCGATAAAATTGTTATCTAATCTAGATGCCCGCTCAATACATGGTCGAGGTGAAGTTGAAGAAGAAAAAGAAGAGGCAGTTGCTCAAAACGAGACGGCAAATGCCCTCGGATTACGAGAGTGAGTTGAAAAGCTTTCATAGTACTAATTGTACTAATTGTAAGTGTACAAATGAGTCAATCAAAGCTCACTTGAGTAATAGAAACTGATTCACCGAATATCAACCATTTTTTCACTTTAATGTTAAGAAAGAATAGGTTCTACTGAAAAAGGAACAAAAAGCTTTCAAAATATTTGATTTGACTAGTAAATGAACAATAAACCAATAAAAAACACTCACAAATCAGTTCAGTGCGACAAAAAGAACTAACTAAGGTAACTGCGCATCTCCTCCTATTCAATTCTTTCGTTTACCTAGCAAATAGCTACCTAAATTGCACAGTTTAATGCTTCTCAGCTTCTCATAGTCTTTTCATAGCTCTTCGATTCTCATAGCTCTCCTCGTCAGCTTAACCATAATTCAAAATAAACGAAAATATCTATCAGTCCTTTTTACCGGGCAATTGAAGGTTTTTCACGTTTTTCTCAGCACCAACACATCAATTTTGTCTATTTTAACTACCATTAGATGCAAAATAAAATTGCGCATTGAACGATACCAAAACCCAACTTAAAATATAATAACCACGCAAAGTTGTTGGCAAAAAACCTAAACCCCGCCTATTCTGGGCGGACCTAGTCTTTTGCCTCATAACTTTCTGTGGATATTACATTTTGAGTTGATTTTGGTATCATTCGACGCGCAATTCTATTCTGCATCGGATGATAGTTAAAATGGACGAAATTGATGGGTTGGTGCTGAGAAAAACACGAAAAGCCTTAAATTGCCACGAGATGGACCGGCAAGAAGGACCGACAGATTTTTTCGTTACAAGTCTAGTTCAAAACCGAAATTTCCAGCCGATACCACCGTTCTCCCAGCCGGTCCATCTCGTGGCACATCTTCAGCTCCATCAATGCTGGACACAGCCGCAACAAGCGAAGTCGAATCACCCGATCATCCGCAACAGCAAAAATCCTGGAATGACACATATCAGCAAAAAGTTCAAACGAGAAACCCATTCTTCCGCTGGTGGTAGAAAAAGTGCTTTGTTTTTAAAAAATCTTCAGCTATCCTTGGTTCTAATTTATTTCTTTTTTGATATATCACTATCGAAATACCCGGTAAACTTTGATTTTCACTTCAATCTTTTCATTTATTTCAACTTTTCGACTTTCAATTGGTGTCCAATTGAAAGTCCAATTGAATTTGTGAATCTTTTGACTGACCCACAAGCTAATAAGCTGACTTTAAGTGACTCGGTTTGACAAAAAGACGTCAGAAACCGTAAACATCAGAACTGGTGCACTGAATACTAATTAAAGAGGCTTTTTTTAAATTTCAAGCTGATACCAGCTGATAATTTTTCAGTACCAATGAAAATAAGTAATGCATATCAGCAAAAACATCACAATGAACTACTAAACTTTCCAATGCACCAGACGCCTGCTGTTTACGGTAAACTACAGCCCAATAAGGCATTAGGCTATAGTTTACCGTTAGCATTAGCATTAGCGTTATTCAGCAATAGATCTAACGCTGATCGCAGCCTAGTTTTTTGATTATTTCATCTATTAGGTTGATGCATAAGTCTTTTCGTTCCTTTTCGTCTGCCGTTTCAAGCCAACAAATGCACGAATTAAACTACGGTTGATTTCATTAGAAAAAGCAATTATTTTTCTGCAAAATAACATTAAAACGGGTTTAAAAATATTTAATGCCTGGATTTTCTTGAGAGTATGAAGTCGGGTAGTCAAAAAGGGCTAACTCGATGATGCGGTTTAGACACCTTAGCTAAAGATAGCTAAAGAAAACCTATCTTCGTGTCAATAGATAAAAGATAGAGAAAAAAAACGTTTGATATTTCGCCAAAATTTCAGAGAAATTCATTCAGCCAATTTTTCCGTAGAGTTTTTTATAGATTTTTACGAAAAAGGCGTTTTTCACTCTCGAATTTGCCTCAAAGTCAACCGAAATTCATTTAAAAAGATGCAAATTGAACAAAAAAACACTTTTTTTATAGAGCAAACTATAGATTAATTGGTGAATTTGTTACTTTTTAACAGAAGTACGAAAAAAACGAAAAGACTTATGCATCAACCTGATAAAAGGCACCTATTTGAAAACCAAATCAGTTTTCATTCAAAAAGCCCGATTTTCGCAAGGTTCAGTACCAAATTGAGCTAATCGAAGGCAAATTGGCGATTTGATTACAGTAGTTTTTGTAGTTTAGATGCCTTTTAGGAAATGCATTACCAGTTTTGCAATCCAAATATTGGGGGTGGCTACTTTGCGCTATTAAAGGCTACCAAGGCGCAACTGGCTCATTTGCGCAACTAGGTCTTTTGCGCAACTGGATCATTTGCGCAATTCGCCATAACTTTCTTCTAAATGGGCCAATCTTTGTGATTTTGGCTACATTTTGTTGCACTTATTGAGATCTACAAAATGACACCAAGATGATAAAGATTGGCCGACTTAGAAGAAAGTTATGGCGAGTTGCGCAAAAGACCTAGTTGCGCAAAAAATTTAGCGCAAAGTAGCCACCGCGCCAAATATTTTATCTTTTAAAACTTTAAAACTTTAAAACTTTAGAATCCAATTCGCTTTTCAAATCCTTTCCATTTATCTTTAATCTTTTCCATTTCCAATCAGTCTTTTCCCTTTTTTCGTCAAAGCTTTCATCTCTAAACAATGTGATTCGTACTCTTTAATCAGTTCGATAGAATTTAAGAACATTTTTCAAATTACATTTATTCTGTAGCTTTTAAACTAATGAGTACTTAAGTTGCCTGTTTCATTCAAATTTTCGATTTCCGATTTCTAATTGTGAGCCTTTTTACACGCTAGCATTTTGTATATTGAATAAATTTTAAATGAAGAAAAATCAAACAAAAAAAACAAATCAAACAAATTGTTGACGCTTTGCAATGAGGTCGAGAGACTTTATTGCATAAAAAGTGACTAGTTTCACTTGTCAGTGTTGCAAAAATCGCCTTTACAGCACCGAACAAGGTATGTTTGACCGCCGGCTACATCATGATGTATTCCTTCCTCCTAAAAACTGCATTGCTGAAAAGTTTCAAACTCTAAAGTCCCTATGATTTTCTAAGGACATCAACTCAAAATTAAGTCATAATTGATGGGCTAAAAATAAAGCTGCGAGTTTCGCTAAATTGCCTTTTCGAAGTCTTGTTTGTTTGTTTCAAGAAAACCCACCAAACAAGAGTATACAATTCGCATCGATTGATCACTTGAGCAACCACAGTCCCATTCATACACTTCATCCTTCGCCGGCACGTCCTGTTTCCACTTTTTCAAGCAAAATTCGCTGCATTTTCCCCCTTTGGTTTGGCAAATAAGTTTTGTCACCTAAATATCTTAAATACTTTAAAAAAAGGTTATTTGTATTATTATTGAGCTTTTGGTAAAAAAGCAAAATGTTTAACTGGAGGCGGCTTCGAACCTTTAACCTTTAGCACTCGGTGCGAGCGCGCTAACCCCTTGGCCATTGCGCGCCGCGCGGGTCCTGTCGACCCGCGCCCCTAAAATTTTATCTGAAACTTTGTCTGAAATTTTATCTGTAGATAGAAATCGTCATTCTCAGCTATTGGCCAAAATTGCCAAAAAAATTGTTAGAGAATATAAAAGTGGAAATGAGTTTGATTGGAATTTCCCCCTGTCAGAAGGAAATGCCAGAGACAGAGTCAAATCGAGGATCACTTGCGAATGATTTAAACTTTGATCCTTCTAAATTAGTCCATCAATGTGTTCACTTACCGAGCTTGTGAATTTGTCTTTCGTGTTTACATCCTCATAACAGCGAATGGCAAAAGTAGTCGAAACGATGCCAAGGAGCAACAGAACAATGAGTTTTTGAGGCATTCTTTGGAAACCAAAACTGAAAACTAGACTAAAATCTAAAACTTCAATCTTTATATACCTATTTCTCTTAGAAAAGCCTCGAAAAGCCTCGAAAAACCAAGATTTCAAAAGAATGCCTTCAAGAATCACAAATCCTTCACAAGAAAGTTCAATTTTTCTTTGAAAAGCTTCCTTTTCGTCTTATCATCCTTCCAAAGTGAGGCTTATTTACTAGTTATCATTGAAAAAGACCGTTTCCAAATCACAAATTGAATCTTTGATGAAAGAATTGCGTCAAAGCCATTGAGCCAAATTGAGCCAAATACGAGAGGAAAGCGGTGACACGAAGTACTCTAATCTGTCTCAAAATCAAAGATTAACATCAAAGATTTTAACTCATACTTTGAGTTCAAACATTTATGTTCCACATTCCAGTAAGGCAATTCAAAAAAAAAAAGTAACGAAACAGATGTTTACTGTATAGCAAAAGGGTATAAAGTTGTTTAAATGTTGCAAAAGTTGAGTAAAACACCGACAAGGTAACAAAACATTAGTGCAGCAATAAAGCGATTTCCCGATGATGTGACTGGATTTGTCGCTGTTTGGGTGATCGTTGTCGTAGCTGTGACCTCTGTTGTTGTGGTCTCTGCTACGGTTGTTGCTTTTGTCGTGCGTCCACTACTCGTTGTTGGACAGTTTGATGCTGGAATCGTTGACGGCATTGGTGTTGTCGCTGGTTTCGCGTGGATTTTTGCGAGGAAACCTTTTGGTTCCGCATCAGCCGTCGCTTCTTCATCACCTTGTGTCCAGGTGACCTAAAAAGCGTCAATTTATAGGTCAAAACCCAGATATTATCAAGGCTAGGTCGGGTTAAATGCATTTTTCTTAAGGGACTTTAAAAAGTCTCGCTAACTAACAAGATTTGGCGAATTATTTGACTTTACTTGCATTTTGTTGACCAGATTTGAGGCAATAACATGCATGTGGTTGATTTAGTCAAAAAATTTGTTAAATTCAATAATGACTAGCTAAAGTTACTTGTCACCAACATACAATCCAATCTCTAACAAGGTTTACTCTAACAAGGTTTACTCTAACAAGGTTTACTCTAACAAGGTTTACTGCTGCACTTACAACAGCTGCCACTTTAGTCGGCAATCCGTAGACAAGTGTCGTGTTGAATGGGACATTCGTTGGTTTACTCCAACAATAACTGAAAACAAATGCAGTGTTATGGTTGTGTTCTTTGCTCACTCATCCATTACGCTCTGCTCGTGTCGATCGAGGAATTTGACAACAAGATTTCCGCTATGATATTCCATTATTTCAAGCACCAGATCGACTGGATCATCTTCTATAATGAATTTTATTTTATAGGCTTTTATATTTATTTTAATTTTATAGGCTTCACGTTTAAGTGATTAACCTGAGCTCTTTCAAGTATCGGATTTTAAAGGGAAGAAGTAAAGACCATTGTACGTTGTACATGGTACATAAAACTCCCAAAATCCCAAAACTCACCAGAAAGAAACGCGCGATCAACTTGAAAATTGGTTGACATTTCGTCGAATGGGGACATGTAGGCTTGGGTGGCGATGAAAGTCCATTTTCCCGCGGACATTGTTTGATTCACACGTGAACCGCTTGCTGAAATGAGTTTTTCTCAAAGTTAAGCTTTACTCTTACTAAATAGTCGCTTTTATTGTACAATCACACTTGGTTTAGCGTACTAAATTCCAGCAAGAAACTTTGTTTCAAAAAAAATCTATAAACTGTCGTAGAAAAAGATTAAGTAAATTTTTGAGCAAATGACACCAGCAGTGGCCAGAATTTAATAGCAGATTTTTAAAAAAATTGTTTAGTTGAAGGTAATGCCCAAAAAGTTGTTGAATTTTGCGGTAAAGTGAAGCGAAATCGTGTCACGATCTACTCGAAACATTGAGCCAATCTTCCAAAAAAACTCACATTTTTCACCGGATGCGGCAATCTCGAGCAGAGGCATGCACTTGGCTGGTAAACGGAGACTGTAGAGGAACGAGTCGAGCAGGTCGTCGAACTGATCACCGCCACCGATACTCATTGGATCAAATGGATCAGCATCACTGAAATCTTCTCATAAATCTGAAATCGTTCACTTTTAAAGAACACACGAGTAATGGCGTAATAGGGTTTGCTCGTTGTTAGCCGAATCTCCTGTGGGCGGCATTCCGATAAAAAGATCGTAGGCACAGGTTGTGTCGGTCTGCAAATGTTGCGAAAATGCTGGGAAAAAGGAGAGCTTTTTGACAAGCGTCTAGCGTGAGCTATAGTTGATTTTAGGGTTTTTAGATTTTTGATATCTAACTTGATGATATCAAAAGCTTGATGTATTGGGTTGGGGAGAATGAGTCGGCGCCGAAATTTAAAGAAACTTTTTGCACCCATAAAACCTTCTTTAAATACACGTTTTGTTTCATCAAAATGGTCCACTATTTCTTTACAAAATGGCTTTTGAGAGATTCCACAAAGCTTTTCTTTTTTGGGATTTTATGGATTCCCAAACACAGCTAATCAAAATGACAAAAAGTCCGACTCATTGCTTGAACAGTTTCTTCCACATAAACCTCCTTTGGTGTTTATATAAAAAAGATAGAGCACACTCAATTACATAAGTTACCAAATTTTCAGGAAGATCCCTCCAACCGTTTACTCTAGATGACAGTTTATCGATTTTGTGAAAAAATGATCCTTTGTTGCGTTGAGGCGCTGTTTGAGTTCTCTTTTAAATATTATTTTGTAGAGAATTAGTTACCCTTCTACGGATATCAAACGCATATCATTTGACAAAGTCTGCTATAAGTTTTAGAAATTTCTTTCATTTTCGGCGCCGACTCATTCTCCCCAACCCAATAGTTCGGTTTGTTGGCAAAACGTGATGTATTGGGTTGTCCAGTTATGAATGCGCTTTTTTACTATTTTGTAAATTTCTCAAGATATCGAACAGATGTATATGAGTGTTATATATCATTCGAAAGCTGAAGATCTCCTCTACATTTTGGAATAAAAAAGTTTTTGAATTCATTCAACTTTTTGGGTAAATTGACTGCACAAAGGGAGAGATCGTTTTCCAAAAAAACCCATTCCAGCTTAGCTATTCCTCAAGTTTTATGGTGTAAAATAACCGCCCAGAAAAGAAAAGAAAAGTAAAGATGCTCTGAAATTGTTATATTTTAAAAAAAGTTGTATTGATATATCTATTGGCCAAACATCAAACGGTTAACTCAATTTGAGCGGAGCCAAAACTTGATCCAAAGGCACCCTTCCATTTTTTGGTCACCTCTTCTTTTGTGCAGTCAATTTGCCCAAAAGCTGGACAAATTCAAAAACTTTTTATATCAAAATGTAGAGGAGATCTTTAGCTTTTGAATGATACTCATATATACCTTTTTCTTGATTTCGATATCTTGAGAAATTTACAAAATAGTAAAAAACGCGCATTCATAACTGGACAACCCAATAGTTCTGTTTGTTGAGCTCTCCTGGCTTGAATTGCGTACACTTTACGCTGAATATAATTTACTATTTATCTAAATCGCGGGCTAGACAATGAAAAACAAAGAAAAAAATAAAATAATATTTGCGAACTTGGTATAACCTTGGTTGCCACAACTTTAGTACTTATCCTACTTTCCGCTATGAGAAGAGTGAATTTGTAGAATACTTGATCACTTCGATGAGTGATGAAAAAACTTTGGAGAACTTTTTGGTGAAATTGTGACGAAAATCTTTAAAGGGACCACAAAATGCGAACTTAAATAGGCTTGGGGTACAGTATGCTCTAATATTGACTGACTTTAGTGCGCTTTAACTCGTACTTAAATCGATTTTCTTGTAAAAAGTGCCAAAATATTCGGGACAATTTCATCAAAAACAGGCTTGCGTCGAGCGCCTGGAAAAAGCCCGTCACTCGGCCCGGACCGAGCTTTTTACAAATAGACCGAGGCTGGGTCGAAAAGTGTGGGTTTTTGTTAAGGGTGGAGCCAAGCTGGTCCGGGCGATTGTGGACCATTTGATACCGCCCCTTTTGCCATTGGAAATCTAACTTTGAGCTTAAATATTTTGGTGTTGGGTTGTTCAATTTAAATAGTTTTTGTCTGAATCGACAGAGAAAGACTTGGTGCATCCAATGGTACCAAGAACATCTAAATTGGATAGCCCAACATCGAGCTTAAAGTTAGATTGCTGATGGCAAAAGGGCCGGGGCGCGTATCAAATGTCCGATAACCGGTTCGGACCCAAGAAACGATTCTGCCTAGCGGCTCTAGGCTCGAAATTTTAACTCTGGCATAAGGCTGATCAAAATTATCGAGACAGAATCGTTTCTGATAAACAGAAAGTGACAGATTCTAGTTCTAACCCTGGCAAAAATTCGAAAAAATCTATCGCGAAGTGTGGCTACTGGACACTTGTTTTAATCACTTTGTAGTCTCTAGTTGCATTTTTTTTCGACCTGCATTGCTTATTGTTCAAATTTTTCATTAAAAAAAAGTAGCATCATCCTAACACTAACCGACGTGAGCTTCGTGAGTTTGTTGACTTTGTCGATCTCCAACGGAAGCAGCACCCACATTGGACGTTCGGAGTACCGAAATTCCCAACTTAATCCCTGCTCTTTGGTCACCATTCCGATTTGGTAATCATAATCTTCTAAAAAAATGGAAAGAGTAGCTCTTGTTGGTTTTTACGTTTTTTTGGGGCAAAGTTGAATATTTACGCTGAATAGGCAAGATTTTACATGGCTTTTCGTTATGATTGAGAAGCTTTAAATGAAAAAATACTGACCGTTAAACCACGGTTCGACGCGAATCGAGAAACCGAAAGTGTTCACATATGTTGGGTCGGCTGAAAAAGAGTTTTCATAAAAAGCATTACCAAAACACAAACTTGAGTTCCAAGCTATAAACAAATTGCCAACAAAGCGTCCACGACATCGCTCATAGGTATAGGATTTGATGTGGATTGTTCGAGCTCTAAAAGTAGATTGTTTAACAGTTGACTTTTGGGGGATAGAAATCGTTCGATTAGTTGTTCGAAATCTTTCGATTAGTCGCTTTTCTGATTTCTCAATGACTTGTGGAGTCTCAATTGGAAACTAATCTCAGTACTAAAGCCACTCAAAACATTTTGAACTTTTTGAAACACTTTTTGAAACTTCAGCTTCAACTAAAAATCCATGCCCATCTTTTTGAAGAAATCTTTTTCACCGGGTCAAGCAGAAATAGGGCCTGAGTAGTCAAAACTATCTACAAACGGACCGACGGACACTTCTCTTTTATATATAGTCTTTTATATAAAAATACTATATATAAAAGAGAAGTGTCCGTCCGTCCGTCTGTTCGCCGCGCTCTGGATCAAGTGGTCAAGGTGGTTAACGTCTCGTCTACAAAACGATCGCCTCAAAAGCGTTTCGGGTTTGATTCCCGTCCATTCCAAACTTTTTTGCTTTAAATGTTTTCAGGCAGAGAGTTGAAGTATGCAAATTTGAGGTAAGGGAGGAAGCCTTTAACTCGAGAGATCAAACTATGCGTTAGCTCCAAAAAATCCAGCCAGAAAAACTGTTAAGCGGGTTTTTCGGCTGGTCCTCTATCTAGATAAAAAGTTCTGAATACTATGTCCCAGTATAGATGCCAGTGATGCTTCAGAGGGTACCAGGGGCGCAGGTGGGGAGTGGAGGGCCTTTAACTCGAGAGATCAAACTATGCGTTAGCTCCAAAACACCCAGCTTCACAGCCAGATTCGGCTGGTCCTCTATCTAAATAAAAAGCCCTGAATACTGAAATCACAATTAAAATTAACCCAATGCTAAATTTCAAATAAATAATTGTCGTTATTCCTTTTACTTTTTGACATTCTTTTCAGGGTAAACAAAATAAAACGCGTCACTCACTCGTATGTGCAATTGGGCAAACTGAGTCCGTTCACATAATTTTCGGTGCCATTCAAATTGACCGCTGAATCATTTAGAAGCAAACCGATATCAGAGGCACATTTTTTTGGAGCATCCTAAAGAAAAATAGTTTTATATCATCTTATGACCTACCTGTAGGTGGTCGCAAAATCTCAACGAATCGAATATCAGAGAAACGTCGGAAGACTCGGCGGTTTGGACACAAATCGTTATGTCTGGAAATGATTGAGCTTAACAAAATGCTTAATGATGTACGGGGAAAGATAATTTTTACTTCTCTTATGAAATCGAGTTGTTTATTATTATTAACGATTTGAAATAAGAGATTACTCACGCCTTGATCGGCACTTATTATCTCTTTCTTACTTACTATCCCTCTTACTTACTATCCCTTTCTTACTTACTATCCCTTTCTTCCTTACTAACCCCTTCTTACTTACTATCCCCTTCTTACTTACTATCCCTTTCTTACTTACTACCCCTTTCTTTTCGTCTTCTCGTCTTGACTATTTCTTTAAAAACAGCCTAAGCCAACCATCGATGAAAAGGACTTTTAAAACGTTGATTTCGAAAGGGAAAGAACTGTGTGTTCCGTAGAATTCCGTAGAAATCAATCGACTGATTCGGATCTCACCCCCTAACATAAACATCGCCATCAATACCTCATACCAATCCCTTTCGGCAACTTTTTAAACTGAGTATCTTGCAATTTTCCCACAAATCTCAAGCTATTCAATCAAAAAATTGCCAGAATTATTGACAGTGATGTCTACTCTAAAGGGTGGCGCGCAATTACGGAAACGGAATATATTTTTGGTTTAATAATCACTGCTGTTGTTGGACTGTGTGTTGTTTAAAATAATCTTAGGTAACAAATTTATTCTTTATATCCAACAAGAAAAGATAGTTCTTTTCAAAAAGATCTTCTTTCGCTGCGATACATGCTTGAAGACAGCGCGGAAAGGCATCAACGATGACAGAAAGATAGGCTTCGAGCTCACCCCAAGTCTTTTGAAGCTATTTCTTCAAAGAATCAATGATTGAATGAGCTTTAGAGCATTGGTCTCTAGGAAATTCCAAACACTGAAATCCAATCCCATCGAACGTCTCGAAATACCCATGTTTGAGGTTAATTTTCGTTGGAAACGGGCTCCTTTGTAGCGTAGGCTTTCTTCACCGTCTCCTTTGTTGTCACTGTCGTCCTTGGGTTGTCCTGTCTCATTCTGGTCGATGGGAATTCGTTCCCAAGACTTTGTAGCGTTGAATTGTCTTTGAAACAACAGACTTAGCCACCATTAATCGACTGGCGATGCTTTTCTGCCTCATTTCCCGTTTCCAGAAGTTGATGATCGAATCTCTGTGCTCCAACTTCTTTGCCATTGTGAAATTTCAAAAATAAAAGCAAATAAGATGTTTCCTAAATCTTAATTGACAAGATGACAATAGAAAAAACTACAAAAATTTGAGTACGCTTTCTCATAGCCATAAAGAAGAACGCGTCACCTCAGTTTCCGTAATTGGGCGCCGCCCTGTAGCTTTTCACCCCTAGTTTCCTCTCAACTTCTTCTCTCACTTTGTATAAAAGCACCGGAGCTGACGAAGATCGGGTTTTCTTTATCGAGTGTGTAGGTGCGATCGCATTTGCCGTTGACAGCTTGAAGCTTCAAAATAAATATTGATCCAAAGAGTAACAACCACATATTACTGTGGCCGAAAACAGACAAGTTTTTCCAACAAAAACTAGGAGTGTTTCGTTCGGTCCCTTGTTATCGGCCCTTACACGACGTATTAAGCCGTCTTACACCGATTTCTCGATAAAGATAAGGGAATTTTAGGTCGGAAAAAGCTGGTAAAAAAGAGAAAAAGAGAATTTCGATGTTTGTTAATCCCTTGTCACCATCGCGACTCAGGCATGTTGCACGTTTTAACTCGTGAGCGCCTTTACTCGTTCTCCCATCACAACCATTTGGCCCATCACAGATCAAAACTCGTGATGGCTATTTTCTAGGTATCTATTCACTTGATTTTTTTCTAAATGAAGCTTTACTCTAAAACTATTTTGTTGTTCTTGTTTTTCTCGCTTGTTAGCAGTTGGAATGATACGCACATACGAGAATTCACCCTTACAAACACGACCGCTTCCTTTGCTATTCATGGAGCGCGGCTTGTTGAGTTACAAGTGGGTGAAACAAGTGCTGCTCACTCGTCGAGATAAAATATAGTATGTGAGCGTTAAAATTAGCAGTTAGCAGTTAAACTTAGGAGTTAAACTTAGCAATTAAACTTAGCAGATGTGTATCTTGAAAGCTAAGATGGTGAAATCTATGAGTAATGAGATAGAAAATTGTTGACAGAACCGCTTTCTCTATTTGCGCCTATTGAACCAGATTGGAACCAGATTGGAACCATATTCCTGGAAGGAACATATTGAAACCATATTGGAACCAGATTGGAACCATATTGGAACTATATTCCTGGAAGGAACATATTGGAACCATATTGGAACCATATTGGAACCATATTGGAACTATATTCCTGGAAGGAACATATTGGAACCAGATTGGAACCAGATTGGAACCATATTTATTGGGAGCTTTATGTTTTGGGGGTAAGTTTAGGTTAAGAAACAAAGATTTTTGACTTAGGCTAAACCGCAAGTGAAGTTTAACGTGTAAACTTGTCCAGGAGGAATGTGTGAAGCCTTAAATTTTACATTGTTTGCTTTTACAAATTTATGATTTGATTAGGTGCTATGCACGTTGGGCGTGGCCTCAATTTAGCTATTAGCATTTTAATTTTCTTGGATTTTCGACAACGCTAAATTGCAAATAGTCACAAGGCATACAGTCCAATAAAAACGTTTTCAAATCGGAATTTCTCCGAATTTCTGGTGGCTAGAGATCGATGTGGTCGGTGTGGCGCCTTGGTGAATCATTTGTGCTCTAAAATTCTTCATATTTTTCACAAAATCACCATGTATCGATAGGAGTATCATGATGAATCTCATGATGCATCATGAGATTATGGGCGCCACCATGGGCACCACCATGATACTATCAACAGTGCAAAATTTTTACCATAGAGTGAAGACTTTCTACTGTCAGATTAGAGCTAGGATAGTGCTCTAAGATACAGTAGAGATATAGAGTAGAAATATACAGTAGAAACATACACTAGAAACCTAATATACAGTAGAAAACATGGTAGTGACCAAGGTGGCGCCCATAATCTCATGATACTCCTATCGAGACATGGTGATTTTATGAAAAATTTTAGAGCACAAATGATTCATTATGACACCACACCAACCATCTCTAGCCACCAGAAATTCTATGAAATTCCGGTTTGAAAACGTTTTTTATTGGACGTATGTATTGGACGTAATTTCATTATAACTTTGCCTGACTGGGAAGTTTCCTGTGCCACACCATGTTTATTTTTGTAAAGAGATTGGGAAACCTTTCGTACCACCCACCTTTCGTCCCACCTTTGCTAGCTTTTTTTTTTCCTTGAAAGCCTTGAAACTATTTGCTTGAAAGCCTTGAAACGCTTGCTATTTTTTTTCCTTGAAATCCTTGAAACCATTCGCAATTTTAATCAGCTTTGTCGAAAACTCAAGAAAATTAAAATGCCACTGGCAAAATTGAGGTCACACGCATTGCTCACGCCCAACGCATATAGCTCCTTTGATCTTTAGGAAATAACAATTTATGGCTCTTTGGAAGGTGGCTTCTTGATCGATTGGACTCATCGTGAGTGTCGCAACAAAACCAAAACAGAGAAAGAGGTAAAAGGGATGCTTTTCAAAAAAGGATCTTTTAAGAATGCAGTTTTACGACATTCATTCAGTTTTCAGCAACCGACTGTGCCAGTATTGTGCTACGATCCTCTTCCTTTCTTGGTCAACAACCTTTTCAACAGTCTAGTAGCAGAGACTTGCGATCTTATGTTAGCGTAACTTTAGTTTTCCATTAATTTATCTGGCATATCGAATTTTTAAGCTATTTTCAGGCCCTCCTACTTGCAGGAGAGCGCAAATAAATCCGAACCGAAAAACGAGTTCTATGCTTGTTCGACGCATCTCAATGGGGAAAGCTTGACCATTACTGCAAGAGATACTCTTTTACTCGTGAATTATGCTTTATCGATTCGAGTTAGGCAATGGGTTGATGGTGGGTTTCGAAAACAGAGATTAATTGGAAATAATAAAAAAGACTTATTGAGAAATAGAAAATTTAAATTCGAAGGTATTAGAAAATAAAGTTGAGCTGATTACCCTTTCGTTCTTACTCTTTCTTTCTTATACTTACTCCCAGCCGTTAACCGAAAGGATCCGAAAAGATCCGAAAAGCAAGGAAAAACAAAATATTAGGTTGAGGAAAAAGTAATGTCGGTTTTTTTCACAAAACTGTTTATTGCTAAAAACATAAACAAACGCACATCAATCAATGAGATATTCTCAATTATTATTGATGACTTGTTCCCATCTTTGTCGCAAATCTCTGATCCCATCCTCAAAAAGAATGCCGAGTTTTCGAGCCAAAATAAATGTCGACTGCTTTTTTTTGATTTGTGCATGATTCTCGAACTTTTCTCCCATAAGAAAACTCTTCAGCGACCGAAACAAAAAAGAATCTGATGGGGTCAGGTCCGAACTCTAAGGTGCGTGGGGCAAAAGTTTCCAATCAAGCTCGTCGATTTCCCTTATTTAAATCATACCACAAAGCGGCTCGAAGTCGAAACTTTTCGTCTTTCATTTTATACCTGAAAATATTGTTAAATTTGTAAAAATTTGCAAAAATCAAATATAATATGAAAGTATAGAAGTATCTAGGTGATATCTATTTGAAAAAAAAATCGCATAAGCAAAGAAATGGGAAATTCGGGAATTCGCCAACAACGGGAATTCAAAACCGACATTATTTTTTCCTCAACCTAATAATTGAAAGGGTTTCGAGACTATTAGACTCTCTCAAAACTCTGGGGAATCAATTCCAAATTCCAAATCGATTCAAAATTCCAAATCGATTCCAAATTCCAAATCCAAATTCTGGCAGTTCTTATTGGAAAAGAGTTTTACACAAACTTATTGGAGGTGACTGGAATTTCTAAAACGAAAGAACCTCTCTTTGAACTAAACGTGGGATTAACTTTGAATAAATCTCGAAAAAGAGAGATAGGTTGCCTGCCGTTTACAATTCTGAAACATTCTATTAAATCCGTGACCAAGCGGCGGTGTCTAAGAGACAAGGAATGTGATAATTTTTGATCAGAAACATGTGCCTAAGTGTTTTGAAACAAAAACTGAAAAGAGATTGTAGAAATATTGATTTTGAGCAAATTTATGAGTTTCTAAGTGTGAGAAACCAGATAGAAAATGAAATAAAATGAAAAAAAATCGCATAAGCAAAGAAATGGAAAATTGCCAACAACAGGAATTCAAAACTGACATCACTTTTTCCTCAACCTGATAAAACACAAGATTTTTAGAGAGCCTTCGCCTTTTCGTCGTCCCGGCTCGCTCTGTTGCTCAAATGCCTGGAGACGAAGTAAATCACGAGACTTTTTATTCTCTTGCCCTCACGAGGCTTCTCTTTCCCGCCGATTTACATACAAAAAGATTAAATAAATAAAAGAAACTTTAAATGTTTCTGTGAGATTACTTTTGATAGGAGTTTTCAAGAAATGAGCTGTAGTTTCTAGTAGACTTCGGAAAACAAAACTTAACCAAAACCAAAACCACCAAAACCAAACAAGACCAAAACCAAAACCACCAAAACTAAAACAAACCAAAACCAAAACCAAAACAAACCAAAACTAACCAAAACTCGCCAATATCTCGCGATTGGAAGGAGCTAGCGAAAATCTAGTTGCAGATTTGAAATCAGCGTTCAAAAATCTATCCCATAGGCTATTTTTTGTTTCGAAATTTTGAGGTCGTGTTTTGGTCCTTTTTTCGGCCGCGAGATTTTGGGGAGTGAGAAAAAGTGGAAGGCAAATTTGCATTTTACAATTTTAAATTTACATGTTAATTTATATGCAAATTGAGTTTTGGTTTGTTTTGGTGTTTTGGTTTTGGTTTTGGTTCTGGTTTTGTTTGCCGAACTCTAGTTTCTAGGGCAATTATTAGGACGGTTCATAAGTCTTTGCAATTCTTTTCAAACTTCTCTTTCCATAGAAAAGAATTCTTTACCAAATTTATAGCATCCTAAACTACTAAAAAGATCAATCATTCCTCTACAAAATGGCTTTTGAGAGAAAGCTCAAAGCTCGCCTCAACTCGACAAAAACCCATTTTTATGTCAAATTTTCAATTGCTGTTTTAAAGAAAATGGCTACACAGATTGTTTTCAAATTTTTCAGACTTATGTAATCAAATGAGCTCTATCTTTTTTACTTTAGCATCAAATAATGTTTGTATAGAAGAAAGTGTTCAAATTGCGACTTTAGTATTGGGCGAGTTTTGGGTACTCGGCTTTGCGCCTTTGAAAATCCATAAAAACAACTATTTCCAAGAATTTCCCAGAAGCCATTTTACAGTGAAACAATCAAGCTTTTTAATTGTTCAAATAGAAATTTTGCTAGTGGCAGCAGGATTTTTTATAAAAAAAATTATAAAGACTTATGCCCAACTTAATATTTTGTCGTAAATTTTCCAAATTTAACCAAAGGTGAGATGGCGAATTTTTTAGACAACAAAATAACTGAGTGACTAGTTGTTGAGGCTGTTGAAGTGTCAGTTAAATCTTTTTATGTCATTCAAAGTTAAATGAAAAAAGAAACCTTAGCCAGAAGTGCTTCTCGCAAGAGCCAACTGGATGGTGACTCTGGTGGCGAATCCGTTCGTCTACAAGTGAGCGAATCTTTTGCATCACTGCTAAGAAAAGGCTTCAAATCAATTCAATGTTCATCTTCTCCAATTGTAGTATAAAATGGCCTGCAGATGAGCGCAAGCCTGGTCCCTTCATGAACATTCGACCGATATCGAATGATCAGCTGTCCTTCGCAGATCTCTGCACTGGCTTTTACGCGGTCGGTTTTGGAGTTTTGTTGGAATAAATGAATGGTTGGAATGAATGAAAAACTCTGTTGGAATGAATGGTGTTGAACAAATTTCAGGACCCAAACGAGGTGACTTGCACTGAGCACATCGAATACAAATATTTCTCTGGTGCGGCACCGGCCCTCAACAGCCAACCTGATTTTGAATACAACATACTTAGGTAGCACACACTTTTGTTGTTAAATCACGATCGCTGAAAGCTCATAGCCCTAAGCCTAAGCCTGAACCTAAGCCTAAGCCTAAGCCTAAACCTAAGCCTAATAAACCTAAGCCTAAGCCTAAGCCTAAACCTAAGCCTAAGCCTAAACCTAAGCTAGAACAAATTTGTGTGATTAAAAGGCCTGCCTAGCGTGTTTGAGAATACAAAATCACTTCAGACATGACGAAATCTTCATTCGTACCACTGCCGGCACGCTCGTTGCCAACGCCAGTTGCTCTTTTTGTTTTATATTTGCTTCATTGTATGAAGGTCGCATTTCCGCTTTCTCTTTATTGCTTTATGATGTGTTTAGGGGTGACCGTATCGTCTCCAGGTAGTCAAATGCTGGCAACGCCAAACCTCGTCTCCACCTATTTTTATCCTTGGTCACTCGATGATCCGTGGGAATACGGATCGTCGATCTGTCAGACATTTGAACTACAGCCGTCAAGGCTGGCGGCAAGTTTATAAAGAAAAAAAACGCTATACTTTTGAAGTACAGCCTCCAAGTCTCCTTAAAAAGTGTCCACAAAATGTTCGGGACACTTTTTGATACTGAAATGCTTCGTTTTCTTTCTTCTCTCGAGCTTTTTTAAAATTCTGTGACAAAGAAAATTTAATCTAAAGAGTTTAAAAAATTTCGTCTGTCCAGAATTCTAAAAAACCTCGAGAGGAAAAAGAAAGCAAAGGATTTGACGTCAAAAATTGTCCCAGACACTTTCTGGGGACACTTGTAGGCTGTACTTCAAGAGTATAGAAACTGAAATAACTGAAATAAGGCACTAGAATTGAGTTTTTTAAATGCGACCAAGACTACGGTTGCAAAATTTTTAATTATGAATTTTCTAGGAGATTGGGGAGCGTAGAGTTTCCGTGAAATTGCTTCACATGGACGGTGGCCGTCTCAACATAACGGCATGGATTTGGCTGCAAAAGCCGTCCTTATACATCAGTTGTGACGACGAAATGGTGTCAAATTTGACAATCAGGTTTATGAAATGACAAAACACATTTCATCGATTTTATAATATAAGATAAATGTTTAAGAAAATTGTTAGAATTATTGGGTTGGTCAATGGGAAACTGCGGGAGTTTGAACTAAAATTTATTGAACATAAAGCCATCAATTCTTTCCAAATAATTTCCATTATTATTCGTAGTAGGATTTTGGTTTATGTGTGTTCATAAAATTTTCAGAATTGATCATCAGTGTTTCAGAATTGAATCTCTCACCCTGAGATAACCGCCTTCACCCCAGTTAGCTCCCCACGAGTTGCGCACAATCCAATACTGCTTGTCGTTTGGGTCGGTTCCTGCCATCGCTGCCATTTTGGGGGCTATGCGCGTGGCCTCAATTTAGCCAATGGCATTTTAATTTTCTTGTGTTTTCGCTACCATTTCCACAAGATCTCATAAAATGATTGTCCCAAAGATTGACGCCGTTTCTCATCCTATACTGTCTTTTCAATTGACTCCAAAGGGATCAGCAAGTTAAACGACTTCATTTCTAGCCTATTAGCCGTTTGAATACCCTCAATTTCTAAACAAACGTCGATTAGAAAGTCAAAATAAAAAAATTAAAGTTAGATCAAAGCCTTGAAACTATTGGGTTGGTGAATTGGAAACTGCGGGAGTTTGAATTAAAATTTATTGCATATAAAGCCATCAATTGATTCACAATAATTTCCATTATTATTGACGACTTCTGCTCATTTTACAGGCAATTTGCGGATTCCTCTTTCGTAGTAGGATTTTGGTTTGTGTGTGAGACAAGTGTGAGACTCGAAAATGGAGGACTGGAGATGGAGACTGGAGGTCCCAGTTTGAGCACTTTCTTCAAAAGAAACCCATTTTGGTGTCAATAGAAAAGTTGTAGAGAATCAAAAATTAGGCTTATAGCCAAATTTCCAAAAAGATACACTTAGTAGTTTCGCTTAAAATGCAAGTTTTGTTGCAAGTTTTGTGAAAATTCGTAAATTTCGCATTTCTTGAAAACCAGTTTTTGAATCGGTCTGAAAATTTGGATATAAGCTTAATTTTTGATTCTCTACAACTTTTCCATTGACACCAGAATGGGTTTCTTTTGAAGAAAGTGCTCAAACTGTCACATATGACAATAGCCCGCATTTTTCAATTCACCAACCCAACACTTTTATTTTATCGATTTAAACGATGATTTCACGTGTTCAGTGTCGATGAGAATTCATTGAGTGAATGGAGGAAAAAACCCTACGAATTCGATGCTGATTGTGTGCGGGTTTGGCTGAAATTAGAAAATGTAAAATTTGATTTCTTCAAACAGCTCACATTTTGCCCCAATGATCCCCCAGACAAGCGCTTCGGCTTTATGGTCGAAGTCGAGCGTGCACCTGAGTCATTAGATGGATTGAAATGTGTCATCGTTTTCAATCTATCATCAACGGAGCCACAGGCTATCATCAACCCGTTTATTTTTATTTCAACCTATATGGATGCCCGTAAGAATTTTACTGTTCACTAATGTCACAGCTTTATTTAAAGCTGACTTTAAAACTTTAAAACTGCCCAAACTGAAAAATTTGCAGATCCAACTCGCTTTTGCGTTTTCAACAACAACGACAATGGCTTGTCGGACTCAAAACTGATTGTTGAGATCGCAATTTTGTGCTCGATCGAGGAATCGGCAAGTTACCATAAATACTATAATTGAAGCCCCTCCTCTCGCGAAATTTGTATTTATTTTGCTCAAAATTTGCATAATTTGACTCTTTGCATTCATTTATCTCACTTCTTGCTCATTTCATTTTAAGTTTCTTTTGTCTCTTTATTTTTTTTACACCATTTTGTTGTGAAATTGTAAAACATTGTACTTTTCAATGCTTTACAGTTTCTCAGAACGTTTTTAACTGTTTTTAGGTAGAATGGACAATTTTGGCAACGGATTGAAGGAGTTCCGCGACCGCGCTTCTCGCTCAAGCTCTTTCGGAAGCTTGAGCCTGAGCCTGAGCCTGAGCCTGAGCCTGAGCCTGAGCCTGAGCTCTTTCGGGAGCTTGAGCCTAAGCCTAAACCCAAGCCTAAGCCTAAGAGCGGGTGTGCCTTAGCTCCGAGAACTGGCTGAGATCCAGAAAATGGGGATTTAGCCCAAACCCAAATAGACTTAGTGCGAGGCGCTAGCCGCTAGCCTTCGCACTAAGTCCCAGCCTAAGCCTAAGCCTAAGCCTAAGCCTAAGCCCAAGCCTAAGCCTAAGCCTAAACCTAGGCCTAAACCTAAGCCTAAGCCTAAACCTAAGCCTTAGCCTCAAGCTCCCTCGGGAGCTTGAGCGAGATCTCTTTCAAGAAGATGATTTGAATGGAAAGCGATGTGGATGCAAATACGATTCCAAGCACGGAGTTGAAAAAGAAAACAAAGCAAAAACGATCAGCAAAAAACGATGTTGTTAAAATGGCTCGATCGACTTCTATACACTCGGCTGCAAAATTCTTCAAAATTGATCGGTCTCGTGTGCGCAGGATGGCAATCCAAAGCCTCTGTCAATGGACATCTACTTGAGCTGGATTGTGAATGCTTGGGACACAATCACAACGGAAACCATCCTCAAATCTTTCGAAGCATGTGGAATCTGAAGCAATTCAAATAGAGATGACGATCACTTGATTCACTGTTTCAAACCGGATGAATCACCGAATCGATCTCTACAGGAATGCACATGCTGAAAGATGCTCGCATGGAAAAGGAAATCGACGAGCTTCTAAAGCCCTTCGAATCGAGAGGATTTCAGGATTTTCGCAAAGAAAATGATCCAGAAGAAGAAGCCGATAATTTCGTTGACTCCGATGTTTCGATTGACGTCTAGTTTGATGTCTAGTTTGATTATTTTCAATTTGTTGTTGCTAAATGTTGTTGGTTATTAGCACTTGTTTTTAATGTTTATACTGTTTTTCTTAATAGAATTGATAAGAAATTAGTTTATCGAGCGATCTATTTGTGTATTCAATTTTGGTAAGTTGAAATTTTTCAAAAGAGGTGAAAATTAGAAGCCTCCTCTATTAGAACCCCCCTTTGGAGGAAAAGGGAAAAATAGAAACCCTGGGGCTTCAATTACAGTCACTACGGTATTGTTGTTGTTGTTGTTGTTCTTTATTTAGCGAGTCCTTCATTCTAGGAAGCCTGTTCCGAAGCGGATGCACCTGTTCGACTCAATGGAGACTTCGCCAAGATGCAAGATCCGGTGCTAAAGTTTGCCCGACAATATTTCAATTACTCCTCGTTTTTCACAGTGTCTCCTCGTTGAACAAAACCGTTTTGGTTACTTCTCGCCTAATCAGACCCGATCCGGTTTATGTGAGCGACAATTTCGACGCAGAGCTGAGAAAAGTGTCAGCGGTGTCGCTTCGTCGTGTCAACACCTCGTTAGGTGAACTGTGCTTGAATCGGATTTCCAAATACCGTCAAACATTGTTAGTGGATCGTTCGATAGTCAACCAATCTCTTCCGTAAACCGGCGGTGTTTTTTTTTAAAGTTCTTGGTCAAGAAATGCCTTATTTGAGCCTCGATAGTGAGCACATTATTCCGCCTTTATCCATAAACAGATGTTGACCCATCAGAGGATCTTTTCTTGCTTTAGACATTGCAAAGATTGCTTTAGACATTGCAAAGATTGCTTTAGACATTGCAAAGATTGCTTTAGACATTGCAAAGATTGCTTTAGACATTGCAAAGATTGCTTTAGACATTGCAAAGATTGCTTTAGACACATCGAGGTTTCTCCTCTTTTCCACCGATGTCACCTATCGCATTGACTACGCAGAAGTTCCCACGTGGATCACGATCGCTTTCAAAAGCACAGCCACGGTGGCGCTAGAGAAATTTCGCTGGGTTTGGTTTTTTTTGAGAGCTTTTTGTTGGCATCAGAGATTATGGCATCAGGGAACTGATACAGGAACTATTAGGTTGATGCATAAGTCTTTTCGTTTTTTTCGTACTTCTGTTAAAAAGTAACAAATTCACCAATTACTCTATAGTTTGCTCTATAAAAAAAGTGTTTTTTTGTTCAATTTGCATCTTTTTAAATGAATTTCGGTTCACTTTCAAGCAAATTCGAGAGTGAAAAACGCCTTTTTCGTAAAAATCTATAAAAAACTCTACGGAAAAATTGGCTGAATGAATTTCTCTGAAATTTTGGCGAAATATCAAACGTTTTTTTTCTCTATCTTTTATCTATTGACACGAAGATAGGTTTTCTTTAGCTATCTTTAGCTAAGGTGTCTAAACCGCATCATCGAGTTAGCCCTTTTTGACTACCCGACTTCATACTCTCAAGAAAATCCAGGCATTCAATATTTTTAAACCCGTTTTAATGTTATTTTGCAGAAAAATAATTGCTTTTTCTAATGAAATCAACCGTAGTTTAATTCGTGCATTTGTTGGCTTGAAACGGCAGACGAAAAGGAACAAAAACACTTATGCATCAACCTATTAATTCAGAGAGATTCAGGATCGACCAACGAAAGTGTGCGAGTATCAATTGATCGTCGGATCGCCGGCAGGCATCGATAAACACCCTGAGCGAAAAATTATCGTTTTTCGGTAGACCCCGGCTGACTAAATGGAGTCCTTAGTGACAAGAGAGCTTTTTAGAGACAACGAACCGTTTGTTAGGCAATACCTTTCACCCAATCACTTCAGCATTCATGTTCCGCCCGGTTGTCAGCCGAGTTTTGCTTTGATAACCACTCACGAAGGTCAGCTTTATCAATTTTTTGTTGAGCTTTATACTCAATGCTTTTCTTTTTACTTACCGTAAATACTGTAATAGTACCCCAGCCCCATAATGACGGTGCGGAGTGTTGCGTAGTCTAGCTTTGAACGAGTTTTTCTCGACACTGGTTTATGCTACAATGCGCGCTTAGGTATCAAAAAATAGCTGAGATTCAGGGCTATTTTTTGATACCAAAGACGCATTTTTTGAAAGTACGGGCGCTTTGAAAAAAATGAAATACTAAAAACCTTTGCGACTACGCGACTGTACGAGGGGGATGGGGTACTATTACAGTATTTACGGCAGTAATAATCCAGTAATAATCCTTAAAAAACGAGAAAATTGTTCTTTTTGAAAAGTTTCCATTTTAGAGGAGGGAAAGAGTTATCCGTACGATTGGAATGTGCCTCAAGAAGTGTGCGATGGGCAAGTGTTCGTCACCTCTTACGGATACGAGAATCCCCATATGGGCATTGTTAATGTTGTTCAGAATACCGGAACTGAAGGCTACAACATGACACGAAACTTCTACTGCAGTTGAGATTCTTTTGAGTTTACAGCTAAATCTTTTAGGGAAATATCCGGTTGTATTCGATGTCGAGGTCTTTTTCGTTGGAAACGGAATGCTGACATTGATGATCTTGGGCTCAAAAAGTCTTGGTGATTTCAATATGAGGTAATGCAGTGATTTTTATCCTTATAAGGGCTTAAAACAAAAAGAAATACAGTAGAAGGACTTGTAGAATTTATAACTTTGAGCAATAGGCCTTTCTGAATATATTTTGACTGAGTTCTGACTCTTTCTGACTATTTTAATCTCAGCATAAAATAAATCATAAACAGCCAAATGATTTTTTGTTGTTTTACAGTGTGATTGATGACAATTGGCCGTACCGAGTGGGCGACGCGAAAGAAGTCGGGGTCAGTGTTTTGAAATAAAATCAGTTAGAAGGCAAAGACAAACAGGACAGATGAAGGCAGTTGAATTGGCATTAAGATCAAGCATCAACCTTGTAAAGCTTGTAAGGCTTGTAAGGCTTGTAAAGTAGCTTGTAAGGCTTGTAAAGCTTGTAAGGCTTGTAAAGCTTGTAAGGCTTGTAAAGCTTGTAAGGCTTGTAATGCAGGTTGTAAGGCTTGTAATGCAGGTTGTAAGGCTTGTAATGCAGGTTGTAAGGCTTGTAATGCAGGTTGTAAGGCTTGTAATGCAGGTTGTAAGGCTTGTAATGCAGGTTGTAAGGCTTGTAAGGCTTGTAAGGCTTGTAAAGCAGGTTGTAAGGCTTGTAAAGCTTGTAAAGCTTGTAAGGCTTGTAAGGCTTGTAAGGCTTGTAAAGCTTGTAAGGCTATGCTTGATAAACGCTTCAACCATTCCTCAAAAGTGTCTTAACTATTGATTGGTTCAAAAACTTAAAAGTTGAAAGTTTTCAAGTTAAGGTGGCTTTTTCTGACAAAACTAGTTCATCTCGTTGAGTTTTTCACGGCGAAACGGTCAAGATCATAAGAAAACCACCTAAGCTTGTAGCCTTGGTCATTTAACTTGTAACCTTGATGACAATTGACCATACCGATCCCTGGTTAGGCAAGACTCATAGTAAGTTCCGGCAATAAGAGTTGAAGTAACCAATAAAAGCTTTTCCAGATTTTCTGGCAGCAAGACGGAGCCAAGATAAAGACGAGGGGACTCTTTGTGAAAGTGAATGTGGCAAAAGCCGGCGGTCATGTCTTTCCAACAATCGATCCTCCTCACCAATCAATCACAACTAGCAAACCTTTCAAAAAAAACATGATAAAAAGAATTCTTTTGTTTACTTTAGGGGCTTTTCTTTTGCTTTTGCTCCCTTTTTTATTCTGGCTTTGTAAACGTTCTGGATTGTATACAGGAGCAGTGAGCAACGCTTTGCAAAAAGCAATGTCTCTGTAATTTTGATTTTTATCGATTCGTGCACCCATAAAAGTGCAGTTATAAAAGTTTCTTTACGTTGTTGCCTTATAAAAATGAAGATGAACACAAGATTTTTCTGTTTATCGAGTTTTAAACGTTTACACTTGTAGAAAAAACAGAATTTTGTTCCACGTTTTGTCACAATGACTGCCAATTGTTTAAGTGGTTTTTTAAATTTGCGAAAACATTTTTATTAAAGTTCTTAAGATTAAAATTAAAATTTAGATTTATCCAAAGATTTTCAAAATCTCAAAAGCATCTCAAAAGCATCTCAAAAGCATTTCTCATCGTTTTAAATTTCGAAAAGCGGAATGTTGCCGGAAATGGGAAAGCAAAGCAATTTAACAAAGCAATTTAACAAAGCAATTTAACAAAGCAATTTAACAAAGCAATTTAACAAAGCAATTTAACAAAGCAATTTAACAAAGCAATTTAACAAAGCAATTTAACAAAGCAATTTAACAAAGCAATTTAACAAAGCAACTCTTTTAGCTAGGGTTTTGATTTCCAAACAATCGTTCACAAATCGTTTACAATCAAAATTTTTGTAAAATTTTGATGATCTAGACATGATCTAGACAGATCGGAATACGCGGGAAAATCAAAGGCTGTTGTTGGGGTACCAAATCCAAAAGCTGAAAAGCTTTTTAAGGATTTTTGGAATCTACTGCTTTAGAAGAAGTTGATGATCACTCAAAAGAAGCATTGAATATCTCAAAAGCCTTTGAGAAGAACTGTTATTTTCATGATGCAGCAGAGAGCTTTAACCAGATCCCTTTAACCTTTAGCGAGTTACGAAAAGACCAGATCTCTTTGGATTTAGCGATGGAAAATAGATTTCGAAAAGTCTACAAAAAGCGAGTCGATGCGAAGAATTTCGCCATTGTCTTCACGATGATTAATCCAACCCAGATGATCTTCACGATGATCAATCCAAACAACTTGACCCAGAGAAAGAACCGATTCTCCTTTCTTGAGATGCAGTTTTTGATGAAATTCAGTGAAGAAACTGTGATTTTTAAACGGTTTTAAAGAAGCAACTTGACTCTTTAAACATTTAGACAAGCTTTATTGAGACACTATCACAAAAAAAAACTGAAAAGCGGGGAGATCTAGAATCAGTTCAGCTAGGAAAATGCAAAAAACTGAAAAGCGGGAAATCTAGAATCTGATCAGCTAGGAAAATGCAATTAGTAGATCAACGTTTATCTACAAACAAGAAAAAGCTATTTACCATCTTTTCGTCAGCTGTTTTTCCTTTTTTCTACCTGTTATCAAAAAGTTCACAGTGCTCTCTTTCCCCAGTCAAAACTGACTCACCATTTATTGACTCTCGTCCAAACCTATTGATTCTTTTCAGTTTAAAAATGAAGATTTTTACATGCTTAAATTGTTGCCTTTGTCAAAACCCATGTAAGTTTAAATTTAAGAATTCAAGCTCTCAAGAAACTGCCACTTTCAAACCTTTATCCTTTATCAAACAGTGTTTCAGTTAGTGCCACATCAAAAGAAACCAGCTCGCCAATGCTTTTCAAGTGTGGTACCGTTGTTTGTAATGAGTGTTGGAAAGAAGAGATGGCTCGTGGGAAAGCTTTGTGGAAGCATCGATGCTCGATAGCCGACAAATGTAAAATGTCAAACTTTCCGGCTTACTTTTTGATTGGTTAGCGTATGATTGTAAGCATTTACTTGTAAAATGCCCAGATTTACTTTCAAACGAGTCGCTTGAGTTGTCGTCGACGGAGAATGGATACATCCTTAAAAAGGTGAAACTTTAAGGTGGTTGTTGCTTGTGCTGTGAAAATCTACCGTAAATCCTCGATTAGAGCGGTATCCTCTAATAGAACGACATCCTCTAATAGAGCGGTATCCTCTAATAGAGCGGTATCCTCTAATAGAGCGGTATCCTCTAATAGAGCGGGATCCTCTAATAGAGCGGGATCCTCTAATAGAGCGGGATCCTCTAATAGAGCGGTATCCTCTAATAGAGCGGGATCCTCTAATAGAACGACATCCTCCATTAGAACGACATCCTCTCATAGAGCGGCATAATGCTAATTTTGACAGCTCCAACTTTTTGCAAAAAAATTGCCTCCGAAAGTGCTTAAAATAGGCCATATGGGTTCCAATTATAATTTAAAAGTCATCGCAGTAAAATTCAAATGAATCCTGTAAAAAATCGACTTAGCATTTTTTGAGAAAAATCATATGGGGGACCACAGGGATTTTCGAGGCCCAGACATCCTGGGGTAGAACCATAGACATAACGTTTGATTTTAAATGTGTTTTTCGTATGTTTTAGACCAAAAGGAAGCAAGTTAGTGATTCAAGTTAGTGATTCAAGTGATTCAAGTAATTCAAGTTAGTGATTCAAGTCAAAAATAATTTTTTTCAACAATGTGCTACTCCCTTATGTGATTTTTGAGGATCCGAATAATAGAGGATTTACGGTATCTTGAAAGGACTCCAGAAAAAGTTACTCTTACAAAGAACAAAACCTGTTTTTTTTTTGTTACGCTTCTATTGATGTCTACTAGAAAATTGATCTACTAGGAAATTGATCAAGCCTACTAGAAATACCCATTTAACAAACGAATGGCAACGAACTGGCCGGACGATTTCGCTAGGTCGCTGAGATGCAAACGCCTATCGAGTATGGGGGAGCAATGCCCTATTTATTTTTGCCCATTCTCAATGCTTCACAAAAAAAAAACACTTGTAAAGTTTGGACGCTTATTCAGGAAATCGCACCTCACTAGGGATGCGCCTTGAATTTATATTTGTCATCATTTTTGCACCATTTTTGCACCATTTTTGTCAAGCATAAAAGGCCCGCTCCCTCCAAAAAAAGTGCCTTTTTCTTCGAATCTTTTCATTATGGTTAGATTCTTTTTTTAATGTTATGACAACTATTTACGATTTCTCTACAAATATGGTTCCTTTTCTCTAAAAGAATGATTCCTTTTCTCTACAAGTATATTTCCTCTTCTCCACAAATATGTTTCCTTTTCTCTACAAAAGATCGAACAACCATAATGAAAAGAGTCGAAAAAGTGCGAAAAACAATCGAATTCTCCACTCCAGGGACACTCCAGGGACACTCCAGGGTCAAAAAATCCGAACCAGGGTCAAGAAAGCAAAATTGAGCTTGAGAGCGCACACACTTATCTCTACAGCACGGTGACGTTTGAAGGGAAGGCTTATATACCGCCGAGGTGCGATTTCCCGAGATTCCTGAGATTTCCCAAACTTTGCAAGCGTTTTTCTTGTGAAGCATTGAGAATGCGCAAAAAATAAATAGAGGATCGTGTTCCCCATGCTCGATAGGCGTTTGCATCTCAGCGACTTAGCGAAATCGTCCGGTCAGTTCGAACTCCTCCCTTGTCAGAGGCTATAACTCAAAAAATCATCCATCCTCTCTACTTTAATTTGATAACCAGGCGCGCAAAGCAGTCCAGCATCTTCGTTCGTGATGCTGGACTGCTTTGCATCTTCGACTTCGAGTATTCCAGGAGATCCAACTCCCCGAGTGCCCCATTTGTCAAGAAGAGTGTTTGGTGATTCGTTTAGCTTTGTAACTAAAAAAGCCTACAGATTCCGTTGATTCACTCGAACGGCAACCGTTTCGCTTATGGTGTAATCATATGGTTTGCAATGGATGTTTCGAGAAAACGTCAACGCAAGTCGCAGGTCCAAATGGAACGCGGTACACATATAAATGCCCGATATGCCAAAAAGCTGATCCATATTTGTTGTCTTCTGGGAATTTGGAGAATTGCATGAAAGGTGAAAGAAGTATTTGTCTGTAATTTGTTCGGCTTAAGTTTTCCTTCAAGAACTACCGACATTGACGGAACAACTGAAAGAGCAACAGACTAGACAATCAACTCAGGTGTGCTTTGCTTTGCAACTTTGCTTTTTCTAGATAAATGTAACCAACTTTAGCTTCAGCGGTCTGAAACTTGCGCTGAATGCGACGAAAGTGTTGGTTTTTTCTTTGTTTTCGAGTTTAAGATGAGATTTCTTCTTTAGTTTACGCTCAAACAGATGTTCGAATGTGATGATTGCAAGAAAAGAGTTGCTCTTAATTGTTTTATGTTTACAAATTTGATTTTCAGATTTGTGGTGCATGTTGTTATCGTCGACATCGAACTCACAAAGTGGTGGATCTGCTAGAAGAAGAGGTGGCTTTGAAAAGAAAACGGATTTGTTTAATAAAAACACTTGGGTCAATAACCCAAGTGTTTTTGTTTGGGTTAAAAAACAAGATCCAGAGTGCGCCCTAATTATGGATCTAGATAAATCAGGTTAACCAGAAAACTACTAACCGAAAAACAAAACAAAAAAAAACAGTCACCAAAAGATAACAAAGTTCTTATAACAATCTTTATTTATATGTTAACAAATGTAAAACTCAAATTTCAAAAAATCCTCCGTTAGCGGCGACGCACGCTTGAAGACACGCGCGAAAGAACTCAAGTACTCGTAAGTACAAGTACCCGAAGGAACTCAAGTACTCGTAAGTACAAGTACCCGAAAGAACTCAAGTACTCGTAAGTACAAGTACCCGAAAGAACTCAAGTACTCGTAAGTACAAGTACCCGAAAGAACTCGTAACTCAACTGTGACACTCAATTAGGCAACATCAAGCTCGTCCCATGCTTTAAGGAGTGCTTTCTTTAACGAGTCAACTGTTCGATTTGGTTTAGCACACTTCTTAGCTTCTAGGCTCAGAAATTCCCATTTGGCGGGACAAAAGCAGAACTGATCATTCCGGGTTACGACGTAACCTCTCTCAATGTTGGACTGAATCACTGCAGAACACCGTTTTCCTTGACCAGCTCTATCATTTGTTCCAAAGCTTTCCAAAGCTGTTCCTTAAAGCGTTTAATCGTCTTTTTCACGATCCGCGTAGAAACTCCCAAATTTTGAGAAATTGCACGTGTCAAAAGCCCCAGTCGATGCAGCGCTATGATCGAGTTTCGATGAAAACTCGGCTTAAATCAGGGCTCAATGGTGGCCACTGTTTAAAACTGATGAAATTCGGAAAGTTTCGTTCACACCAGTCTTGGACAATTCTGGCTTTCTGGGCAGGCTCCCCATCCTGCTGAAAGCACCAAATTTTGTTTCCAAAATTGTTTTGTGCCCAAAAAGCGCATAACAGCAAAGTGCGGCAAAAGGAGGTTGGGACTTTTAGGCATTTTTTTTGCGTAATTTTGGGACTCCCTCTATCAAGGCTTATTATTTTTGCCTTCTTTTTTTGCCTGAGAAGGCTTCTTCTAAAAGTGGATAATCTGTAGAACTATTGTACCGTAGTCTTTTGATTTAACAACTCTTTCAGAGAAGCAAAATGCTCCAAGAAACAAAGAAATCACTTGACATCCAAATTAATGCTTATGAAAAGATCTTCCGACATTTTCATCAAAAGTTAATCGAAGAGGTTCAACAATTGGGGTGAGTGAGAGAAAATGGCTTTTAAAAATGGCTTTTAATTCTCATCATTTCAGACAAAACCTTTTGAATGATGTGGCTAAATTGGACAACGAAACGTTCAATGTTATTGCTGTGAAAACAAAAGAACTCAGGTAGAGTTGTTGTTGGTTGTTGGCTTGAAAAAGAATCCTTTTTAGAAAACTTGGTGAACAATTCGAGACTTTTTCAGAGGACTACTTGCCGCATTTGAGAAAATTCGACACACAAGTTTCGGTTTGTTACCATTCTAGCAATAATAACCAAAATATAGAAGCTGCTAAAATCGACACTCCCAAAAACATCGATCCCGAAAGTACCAAAAGAACCTTTTGCTTTCCTTCGGCCGAAGAAAGTTCCCGAAGAAAACAATCGCTATCCACGGCTCTCACAAGGTGTACAAATATCTCCCAATACCACTGTTTACCCTTCACCTTATTATAACATGTCGATGCCGTATTTGAGAGAAACCCCGCAACCACATGGAAGTCCATTCACAAACATCATTGAAGCAGGATTTGTTCATTTTGGGTAGTAACTTGACTATAATAAATAACTAAATTTTCCTTTATGATGCTTTCACTTAAAAACACTGCGAATTTTGGTACTTTTGATAAAATTTCGATAAACTTTTGATGAAAATGTACTCGTCAAATCAACAAGCTCTTATTCTCTCTTCAGTAAATATCACAAAATTCTATCAGAAAAAATATGATGCATTGTTTAGAAGAAATAACAGGACATTTAAAGTACATAAGATGAAATCTCTTTGCTCAACGTTGATCGATTTCATTAACTGTTGGTTCTCTTAGCATAAAGCTTGCTATTTCCTCTTCAGCAAATCCCATTTCACTATTCTACACTGGACATGAAATTTATTATAGTCACAAAGCATTTCAAAGCTCAAAAACTCTATGCTTCAGAATATTGATTACATTTTTTAACTTGAACTTTTTGGACAAAGGCCTTTACCAAAGCTTCGGCTTCGGTAAAGCTTCGGTAAAGCTTTGGCTTCGGTAAAGCTTTGGCTTCGGTAAAGCTTTGGCTTCGGTAAAGCTTTGGCTTCGGTAAAGCTTTGGCTTCGGTAAAGCTTTGGCTTCGGTAAAGCTTTGGCTTCGGTAAAGCTTTGGCTTCGGTAAAGCTTTGGCTTCGGTAAAAGCTTTGGCTTCGGTAAAGCTTTGGCTTCGGTAAAGCTTTGGCTTCGGTAAAGCTTTGGCTTCGGTAAAGCTTTGGCTTCGGTAAAGCTTTGGCTTCGGTAAAGCTTTGGCTTCGGTAAAGCTTTGGCTTCGGTAAAGCTTTGGCTTCGGTAAAGCTATCTATTGGATCGGGCACACAGAGATGACTAATGAGATTGCAAATTGTTCTACCAGGAAAAAAAACTTCAGTCGAATTACATTTCTCCTAAACAATTGCTATAAATATGGCATGTTTTTACAAAATAAATTCCCAACAAAAACAAAACAACTTAACTTGAAATCTAACTTACCGACTCATAGGGATTAGTTGTAAAGGAGATCCCTAGACTTGAATTAGTTGATAACTTTAAAAGCACAAAAACTGGTGACATTAAAAAGGAGAAAAAGGAAAATAGTTCCTTGCTTTACGAATGATTTTTGAAAGCAAAATGAAATTTTTCTGTGAAAGCTTATAAAGAATTAATCAGATCTCCTTTTTTACTTTTAGAAAATATGCTCTGCAAAGCTATAGACTTTACTTTTGTATCAATAAATAAACAAAATTAAATAATCCACAACAAAGGCAACTCCTATTTGTGTTTTCTAAAAGATATGCTTCAGCAAATGTTATCGTAATTCACATCGTTTTCCTACAAATCACAAAATTGCTATGGTATTGAAAGCGAAATGTGAATTTATTCACTTTATTGGCTTCCTGCTGGCTGCCTGGCTTTTCTTCTTGTAAAAGCAATAGTTTTTAAAAGCAATAGTTTATTGAGAGCAAAATCCCAGATAGCAAAAATAGGGTTTCGAGCAATCAGCATCGGTGTGGCATCTCTAAAAAGATATAGCTTTGACCTGGAAGCTGTTTGGAGCAATAAATCGATTGTGATTACTGTATCTTATTGTTAGATATTAATATCTATAGTCATTTCCCTAAATCAAAGTCAAATGTTTTGTTTTTACCCGAGCTATGATCATTGCAAAATAAGTTGCGAGAAGAAATAAGGTTAAAAGTTCCATTTTAGAAAAATAAGCCTTGTTCTATTCTAGCGTTTTTCTATGACAAAATCTTTTCATGAATTAATTTTTAGAATCAGATGTCAATCTTAAAAGCTGTTCAATATTCGCTGATGTTGGACGCGATGTTATTGGATTGGTAAATTGAAAACTGCCGGCTATTGTCATAGGTCCCAGTTTGAGCACTTTCTTCAAAAGAAACCCATTTTGGTGTCAATGAAAAAGTTGTAGAGAATCAAAAATCAAGCTTATATCCTAATTTTCAGAACGATTCAAGAACCGGTTTTCAAGAAATGCCAAATTTACGAATTTTCACAAAACTTGCAACAAAACCTGCATTTTAAGCGAAACTACTAAGTGTATCTTTTTTGGAAATTTGGCTATAAGCCTAATTTTTGATTCTCTACAACTTTTCTATTGACACCAAAATGGGTTTCTTTTGAAGAAAGTGCTCAAACTGGGATCTCCAGTCTCCATCTCCGGTCCTCCATTTTTGAGTCTCACACTTGTCTCACACACAAACCAAAATCAAACCAAACCAATCCTACTACCAAAGAGGAATCCGCAATGAATCCCTGAAGAAGAACAGGCCCTTCAAGTCAAAGATCGTTCTCCTCCACGACAACGCGCGCCCTCATGTTGCAAAACTGACTCGCTCTAAAATAAATAGCCTTGTTTGGGAACTTTTGGCGCATCCCCATACAGTCCGGACCTTGCCCCTTCTGTTTACTATTTATTCCGGACCCTGAGTAATGAGCTTGCGGGAGAACACTTCGATTCGGAAGAAGCAGTCAAAAATTGGCTCGAAAAGTTTTTCGATTCAAAACCAAAATCCTGCTACGAAAGAGGAATCCGCAAATTGGCTGTAAAATGGACAGAAGTCGTCAATAATAATGGAAATTATTTGGAATGAATTCATGGTTTTATGTTGAATCAATTTTAGTTCAAAGTCCCGCAGTTTTCAATTCACCAACCCAATAGTTTTCAGAATCAGATGTCAATCTTAAAAGCTGATCAATATTCGCTGGTGTTGAACGCAATGTTACAACTGAATTTTCAAACATAAACAGCTTCAATACCTTGCTTGCTTTGCTGGGAACTCTTGCTGAATGCTGAGAAGGCCTCTTCTAAAAGTGGATAAGCTGTAGAACTATTGTACCGTAATCTTTTCTCCAACTTTTCTCCACTCTACTTGTTTAGTAAGTGAACAAGGGTCCACGAATTGCCACAATCGAAGATTTTTCTAAATCCACTTTGTTAGAAATAAACAAACCAAATCCCTTACTCTTTCTAAACAACAACTTGATAAACGTCTTTTTTAAATGTTTCCGATACGAACCATACATGAAATAAGCAAAAGCACAGAATGTTCCCTGCATGGCGACCATTAAAATAAAGCACATTGTGAAAGCTGAAACGAGGATTTCTTGAATCTTCCAGATATTGTTTTATCTTTTATTAAAACCGAGAAAGTCTCAGGAAAAGCTAGGAAATTTCAGAAAAAGCCAATAAGCAACAATAAGCAATTATTGTTAAACCAATGAAATTCTTGACAAATACACCTCTATGTTAGAAATTTACAAAATGCACAAGCAAGAGTTCCCACTTGCTAAATGTTGAGCATCAAAAATCATCACGAAAGCGATCCAGCTTGCGGGCACAGTTTGATGGAAGAAAATAATTGTAGCCTCAATATGTAATAGTTGTGATTTAATATGTCGTAGCCGATTATGAATGAAATTTTTTGGCAAATCTTTCTAGTAGAGCAACCCTTTAATGTACGAGGACAATATTATATCATCTTGTAGCGAATTAAATTCTGCGTCGATTGGTACCAAATTTGTGAGTTTAAGTTAAAAATTGCCGGCGTTACAACGTTTGATTCAAAATCGGCCGGATCCCCGTAGCCGATTGTGAATGAGTGGGTCTAGAAGCGTTCAACCATCAAGTATTTGGGTCTAGGAGCGTCTAGGAGCGTTCAACCATCAAGTATTTGGGTCTAGGAGCGTCTAGGAGCGTCCAACCATCAAGTATTTGGGTCTAGGAGCGTCTAGGAGCGTTCAACCATCAAGTATTTGGGTCTAGGAGCGTCTAGGAGCGTTCAACCATCAAGTATTTGGGTCTAGGAGCGTCTAGGAGCGTTCAACCATCAAGTATTTGGGTCTAGGAGCGTCTAGGAGCGTCCAACCATCAAGTATTTGGGTCTAGGAGCGTCTAGGAGCGTTCAACCATCAAGTATTTGGGTCTAGGAGCGTCTAGGAGCGTCCAACCATCAAGTATTTGGGTCTAGGAGCGTCTAGGAGCGTTCAACCATCAAGTATTTGGGTCGGGGCGTCTAGGGCGTTCAACCATCAAGTATTTGGGTCAGCGTCAGGGGCGTCCAGCCATCAAGTTTGTATCATTCAACGCAGAATCATTAATAATTATGTTAAATTTTTAAAATTAACAAGATTTGATAAAAAGAAAAAAAATTAGATCAAAAAAACTGTTTGTTCAAGAGAGAACTTTGAAGCCCCATAATTTTTTTTATTTTTATCCAATCTTTCTGATTTAAAAAATTTAACATAATTATTAATGATTCTGCGTTGAATGATACTAAATACTTGATGGTTGGACGCTCCTAGACCCACTCATTCATAATCGGCTGAAATTCACAATCGGCTACGACATATACATCAAAAACTTTTCACTTTCAAAACTATAAAATGTCTTTAGAGATTAAGATGACAAGAAAGTTTGGGAATACATACATCTGCTATATTCTTGTACCACCCGAAATGCTCAGCAAGTTTTTCTGGCTCGGTGTTTTAGGGCTAACGCATAGTTTGGTTTCTCGAGTTAAAGAGTCTCCTCCGCTCCCATCCTGCGCCGCCTCCGAGAACCCTGTAATAATACTGAGATCTATCTCTTAATCCTTCAAAGCAATATCGGCACCAACGCTAATATCTTCCGAAGCAACACCGACACCTAGACTGCGGCGTTCAGCGTGACTAACGTCGCGTCATGCACCCCTTCGAGACTCGAGACCCCTGTAACAATTACTTCGCTACGAGCAGGCATGTTAACTCCGCCGCTTTTTTCGATCCGTTTGCCGCTGGCAATTTACTAATTTTACTCGTATCTTAGCCGTGTTTGTTTGAAAAACGTTGAATTTGCTTTCATTCGATAGAAAATTTGATTTCGAGTCGAATAAAAACAAATTCAACGTTTTTCAAACAAACCCGGTTAAGATACGAGTAAAACACGTAGATTGCCAACGGCAAACAGACCGAAAAGGCTTTCGTTCGATTCGAATTAAATTTTCGATCGAATGAAAGCAAATTCAACGTTTTTCAAACAAACCCGATCAAAGTACGAGCAAAATTAGTAGATTGCCAACGGCAAACGGATCGAAAAAGGGGCGGAGTTAACATTGCTGGCTACGAAACAACTCAAATTTGCGTAAAAAAGCGAGGATGAAATTTTCTAACTTTGTGGAGGCAACCTCAGCATGATACTACCAATCTAACAAAAAAACGCACCCCGAAATTCAATTTAGGCGCCGAGAAAACCGACAGACAGACAGTGACGGACAGACAGACAGTGACGGACAGACAGACAGTGACGGACAGACAGACAGTGACGGACAGACAGACAGTGACGGACAGACAGACAGTGACGGACAGACAGACAGTGACGGACAGACAGACAGTGACGGACAGACAGACAGTGACGGACAGACAGACAGTGACGGACAGACAGACAGTGACGGACAGACAGACAGTGACGGACAGACAGACAGTGACGGATAGACAGACTGTGACGGACAGACAGACAGTGACGGACAGACAGACAGTGACGGACAGACAGACAGTGACGGACAGACAGACAGTGACGGACAGACAGACAGTGACGGACAGACAGACAGTGACGGACAGACAGACAGTGACGAATAGACAGACACTTCCCTTTTATATAATAGATAACAAAAAACAAAAGATATTCTATCAATTAATTGAATACCTAAAGGGTAAAAAGGAATCCCGACAAAAATGCAAATTCGTCTTTTAAACCCATGGCACAGTGGGTAGCGCGACCGTCTCTCGCCCACACAACCCGGGTTTGATCCCCTTAGGTAATTTGATTTTTGCTTTTGAAGAATTTATAGATAAAATATGACACAACTACATAAAATTCCCTATCTAACAAAGAAAAAATTATTTAAATCGGTCCACAAAACGGCTCCAATGCTGAGATCTCGGTCAGGTTATTTTGGGAACATAGGGAGCCGGTGGTTCTCTGGAAATCCGATTTAATGGGAAAGTTCGACTGTTGCCCTGAGCTGACAGGGTATTTAGGATTTGTTTAAGGAATTTATCCTGTTTCTTTATCCAGATTTTGTCTAGCTCTATAGAATAGCTTATTCTAAGCTGAATACGCAATCTACACTTAGCACCGTAATTCAGCTCAAATAGACTGAGATCGGGCTAGGAGGCTGAGATCTCGGTCAGACGGACAGACAGACAATTGCTTTATATATAGTAGATTGTTATCGTTTCCCTAAATCATTTGGAACTCTAAATGGTGAAGATATAAAAGGAATGTTTCACAGAAGTTCACAAAGCGATGATTTACTTGTTTTGCAAGGAAGTGTAACAAAAAATTCTTTTCAACCTGTGTATAAACATGTTTCAACCATTGCTTCTGTATCTCCAGCGTTCGTCGACTCATCGACTTTTCCATGGCTTTCAAAGAGCTTAGCGCTGTTGCGACCAACACTGAAAGGTTGAGAACAACACTTGTTTTGGCACTATTATTGAAGTTGTACCGATGAATACAGCTGTATAAAAGATGACGAAACCAATCGACGGGATGATTGTTCGCCGTCCGAAGTCAAGTTCCACCCCGAAACTTGAACGTTGTTGAAAGAACGGGGCAAGGTAGGGGTATTCCTGAAATGAATGCATTTTGTGTTAACGAAATTAATTCTTTACTTCACTACTTCGGCTTTCAATAATTCTCGTTCTAACTTGAACTTGAAACTCTTCGAAAATCGACTTCAGCCTAACGCGTTCCAGTAAACCGTTCTAATGGGTTGGTGAATTGAAAACTGCGGGACTTAGCACTGTAGCACGATCAACCCCTAACTCTTCTCCCAATTCACGCGATGATACCGGTGGTCGTTGGTAGTGAGTTCGAGTAATTTGGAATCATACTCGACACGTTCTTTCATCCCACTTCTGGGGGTTATTGAGGTCATGGGGCACCCAAGCCCCAAGTTTCGATTTAAATCCAAGGGTATGAAGGTGCTTTAGCACTCTAGCATGATCAACCCCTGACTCTTCTCCCAATTCACGCGATGATACCGGTGGTCGTTGGTAGTGAGTTCGAGTAATTTGGAATCATTCAGTTGGCGTGCCGCTCCACGGCCCTCTGCATCTTTCAAAGATTTGTCCCCAGATCGAAACTTGGCAAACCATACTCGACACGTTCTTTCGGAAGGTGAGTCCTCCCCATCTATCTTTTTAATATTAGCAGCTGCCAAGTCTGCACTGTGCTCTTGTAGGAACTCATGAAGCATGACATGACGAATATCTCCCGGTGGCAGATTGTCGAGTGCAATAGAAGAAGTGAAGAAAAATACCAAAAAATAAAAAGCTGGAAGCATAATTTTTTCGCAATAATTTGAGGAAATGTTGAAGTAACCAAATCCCCTTTCAATGCTGTTGTTTTTTTATCTGCGAGTCCCGCGAAATAGCCCGCAGTTTTCAATTCAACCAACCCAATACAATCGTAAGGGCTACTGTAGCATCAACAAATTGATAAGAAACGCAAATGCATATAAAACTAAGCCATGACTGGATTACAGTAGTTGGAAGATCCTTTAGAGTGCTTACCCGTGGCTTCTTTTATTTAGTTTGTAAGTCAAACTGTCAATAAACTGTTCTAAAACAGGAAAAAACAGATTCCAACGGTTCCAACTGTGAAAAAACCGGTTTCAACTGTTTCACAATTTGTAGTTTCTATCGTACTTTGCGTTCGAGCAAACGCAATCTATTTGACACACAAAGTGCAAGTCTAACTTGTCACCTAGCCGATCTTTTGTCACCTAGCCGATCTTTTGTCACCTAGCCGATCTTTTGACACCTCACATTTTGAAAGCCATCTAACGCCTTGTGAACATCGTTTCCCCAAAGGATAAGCATTATGGAAACTGTCCAGAAAATCGGAAAAACATACGAAAAAACGATCCAATATCTTTTATGCCTTAAAACGAAATTTTTGCGAAATTTTTAAAACCAAAACTTACCGTGGTTTCAATTTCAAGAAATGCTCATTCTTCAAAACAGATTGCTGTCGAATGAAGCCGAGAATTTGTGTTGAGGAAACAACGGCAACTGTCACGTAGATCAACACAATCTAGAATGGAACTGGGCTCTGCCTGACCCAAGAAATTGGCTTTGAAACATTTCTGGTCAAAATCTTACCAGTTGCCAATAGACATCAAATCCACAATCAGCCAATGGACCAATTGCAAAGCCGCCTTGTGCTGGCAACCCCAACATTGGGAAAGCCAAAAGGCTACCCCGTACTCGCAGCACATTTGGTAACACTGAAAAGGAATCGTCGATGAACTAGGGTCTTGCATTGACCAACTGAAAATTATCATTCACATAGCTGGAAATTAGAGCTGAGCTCGGGCCATAATGTTGCGGGAAACAGCTTCGGGAAAACAAAAATTTCCCGCGAGGAACTTTTCTCGAGGGAACTTTTCTGCGAGATGATGGCATGTTAAAGGGACAGGAAGGGAAAGTATTTCCCACGGGAAAAACCAGAGAGGGAAATTTCCAGAGGAAACTAGAGGGTAATTTTTCTAGAGGGACCTAATGGTTCGGACTCTGCTCCAAACATTTCAAGCCAAACTAATCCAAAGTCCCAGATAAGAGCCTGGTTTCTAACCATATCTATTGGGTTGGGGACTATGACTCGGCGCCAAACTTTAAAGGGACTTTTTGCACACATAAAGCCTTCTTTAAATATATGTTTGGTTTCATCAAAAGGATCCACTATTTCTCTACAAAATGACTTTCGAGAGATTCCACAAAGCTTTTCTTTCGTGGAGTTTATGGACTCCCAAACACAGCTAGTCAAAATGGCAAAGAGCCCGACTCCTCGTTTGAACAGTTTCTTCCACATAAACCTTCTTTGGTGTCTACATAAAAAAGATAGAGCACATTCAATTACTTAAGTTGCCAAATTTGCAGGAAGATTCCACCAATTGTTTTTTCTAGATGACAGTTTGTAGTTTTTGTGAAAAAATGGCTTTTTCTTGAGCGGAGGCGCTGTTTGAATTTTCTTTTAAATGTCGTTTTGTAGAGAATTAGTTAGCCATTCTACTGATATCAAACGCATATTATTTGACGAAGTCGAATAGAAGTTTTAGACATTTTTTTGATTTTCGGCGCCGAGTCATAGTCCCCAACCCAATACAATTAGCAATTAGCTTCAAACTAGCTATAAACCAACAAAAAACCCTCGGGTTCAGCCAGAATAGAAAGAGTCAAGAGTATTTGCTTCGAATCTTACATGTAGCGCGAACATATGCCATCGAAAATTTCCGAGTCCTCTCGGTGTTGCGACAGCAATCAAATAAAGACATAAGATATTCACCCAAATAGTTAAACCTTAAAACAAAAGAAATTTCCTTTAAAGTTTCATTTCCCAACCTGAGACAATGCGAAACCAGAAAAGCATCGCTGGTGCTTGGCTGAGATCGATCACGTTATCCATTTGCTTTACTTTAGTTTACAAATAAGTTTGTTACAAATAAGTTAAGAATAAGAGCAGCTTAAGGCCTGAAATCGTAGAAATTACAGAATTTTTTATAAGCTCAATGAGAAAGTTAAATTAACTACAAAACCTAAATTTAACTTTAAATCTTTCTGATTGACGCGAGTGCCTCGGATTTTTGGTGAAACAGGTGAAAATTAATGCCTTTTTATGTCTGGGCAATCAAATGAAAATTCTAAATAACATTTTTGGTTAATCTTGGTTTTAAGGCTTGAACCAGGAAGAAATCGATGAGAATATTTAATGAAGTCAGCAAATTTGGTGAAGGTGGTGAAGCAATTGAGTAATTGTGAGCTCCGGCCAAAAAAACTCCTAATTCCTGAGCTCTGGCTGGCTTTACTGCTGCTCAGGCTCGGTTTTTCTCACAAAATGTCCTGCAAAACCAAAAGAAAAACCAATCCTGCATTCTAGCCGGCTCTGGCTGATTTGAATCCACCCAAAAACTCGCCTAGGTCTTCTAATGATCATTTTTGGTGTCAACTCAACTTTTTAAGGACTTTTCCTATTTATTCTCGGTAACTTTTTATACTAATTTGAAGAGGAAATTCAGGGCTATCGAACGACTATAATAGTTTAGTTTATCTTTGAATACTCAATACAAAAAAAGCCGCCTTAATTTTCCAAAGAAATTCTGATGGCTACTGGTGGTCGTCGTGATGCCAAAGTGAATATTTTGGTCTGGAAATCCCGCTTTCATGACCGATAATAAATGAAATTTCTGAACCACTATGGTCACCACCACCCTATGGGCCACCACCATAAGACTTTTGCCATAAAATTAAAACTTTCTACTGGCATCGTGGTGTCATGGAAAGTTAAGGCAAACTGTTTTTTTTAACACCCTGTATAAAAGAAGAACAAATAAGATTTTCAGATTAAAAAATAGAATATTTTAGACGGAGCGAAATTTCATTTGCATCAACCTAGTAGAAGTAAGTTATTTTGATCAGAAATTTGCTTTTTCGCTTGAAATTTGCTTTTCAAAAAGCCTTGCTAGGGTCAACGGTCAACGGTCAGACGCATTCGAGGCTAAACGGAGTGTGGTGGCCAAATGAAATGAGAAATAACACTATTCGACGTAGAGTTTCATCGTTTCCAAGATCTGCTTTCCGTTTCTGCTATGAAGCACTCTGTAAAGAGTTATAATCGTGCAAAGTTTTTGGATTTGTAGGGAAATTGCTCGATTTTAAAAGTAAACGTCTTGTAAGTTATGCAAACTTTAAGAAGTCATAACGTTTTGTAGAAGTTATAACGTTTTGTAGAAGTCATAACGTTTTGTAGAATGTCATAACGTTTTGTAGAAGTCATAACGCTTCTTTAAAGTGTCACTTTTTGTTGTTTTTTCCATCAAATTTATTGTGCTCCAAAAATAAAACGAAAAAAGGTATTAAAGGATTACAAAATAGCAAAATAGATTAAAAAAAACTATAATTATGAGAAAGGAGTGAACCTTTTTTTACGGAAAGCTTTAAGAGTAAAGTGGTGACAAAAAATGAAGAATTGAAATTGAAAACGAAAAAAATTATTCGGTCGATTTGAATGATATGCCAGGGAGAGAGTCTGGAAATCAACAGAAAAGAAGAAATTATTTCGGAATTTCGGAAAATTCGAAGAAAAGTGGGAAGAATTGGGGGAAATTGGTGCCTAATGAAAGGAATATTTAAAATTTTTGATTCAATGATTTTTTAAAAGCTGAATCTAGTTGGATCTTAAAATCTTAAAATCTTTTGGGTACTGTAGCTGTCTCTAAGCTTTTACTCAGTATTCATATTGTAATTGGTCTTGTTTGAAGAACTCAAATGAAGCTTCTGCCCTAAAAGTGCCCTAAAAGGTATCCAGGGCCATAGTATCGATACCAGTTAGAGGGGAATTAGTAAATCTCCTTGATGAGACTACGAGACGAGACGAGACCAGTACTATAGACTGACTATAGTAATCTACAGTCAGCTACAGTCAGCTACAATCAGCTACAGCCAGCTACAGTCAGCTACAGTCAGCTACAGTCAGCTACAGTATCCAAAAGCTAGTGATATCTAGATAAAGCTAGACATATCTTTGTTTCAAGTCGACCTTTCTAACTCTCGAGTAGACAGGATGAGAGAAAGGCTTTAAACGGTGGATCGCCGAAAAGAGAAAAACGGGTGGTGTGCCTTCTATTCAACGAGGGGCCCAGGCCGTCCATTTATAGGGGAGGACGGTCGACCTTTTTAGAAAACACACACAACCATCAACCCTTTTTCGATAAACCACTGGAAGCCCGATCTATCGAAACCTGTCCATAGCTGGATTTAGACTTGTTTACCGATACAGTGCCAAATAAGCTACAGCTCATTAGTCGCTCAATAAGCTAGTCTCATTAATCGCTGAAACTTAAAGCAATTTCTTAAACAGCTACAACTTAAACTAATCAAGGCTACAGTATCCAATGAGTACAGTAATCTTGAGTACTTGAACTATGCAAGACCTTGAATTTCATTTGTACTTGGAAACACGCTTCTTAAACAACAGTTTCCTAAACAACAATCTGGGTAAAGCACAGGACAACTTTGAGCTCTTGTAACCCTTGTACGGTAACTTTGAGCTCAGTTTGAGTACCTTAATCTTGAAGTACGATCGATTTCTATAGTTGTATTTAATTGGCACTATCGATAAGATCAAGTCTAGATATGGGACTCTTACGAATTATAAAATTGATACAGACAAACTCGCCTAACATTACAAGAGGTGATGACAATCGGAATGGGCTAAGCAGAATAAAATCTTCTCTCTCTTTTTTTTACAGCTCATTCCGATCAATGTACGAGAAAGAAACCAAGAAAACACAAATCAAAAGAAAGAACGATTGGCAGATTGGGAAGAGTGCCCAGAAATGTGGCCAAAAAAGAAATGCTGGTGCACTCAATAAATGGGTAAATAAAACACACGGTATCATCGGCAGCGTGTTTTTCGTGGGTAGGTGAAATGAAATGGAGAAAGAACGCAGCAAAAGGACGGCATCGGTGACTCTCAATTATGAGCTAGAAGGCTTGGAAGGGAGTAAAGGGAAGGGATGGCCTGAGAGGGGTAGGGGTGTGGAAATGCGAGTGACTTGGTGCACTGGGTTTATTCCTGGGTACTGGGGCAGTTGAACAACCCAGGTACCTGGTTTTCAAGTATTTTATCCAAGGACTTGGGTTTTTAATAGTCTAGCTTCTTAACCTGTTAACTACTTCTAAATCTCATACCGATCTAGATCTTCAAAGTAGCTAGATCTTCAAAGGAGCTAAATCTTCATCTAGATCTTCTACTGGATCTAGATCTTCTACTGGATCTAGCCCTTCATCTAGATCTAGATCTTTTACTGGATCTAGCTCTTCATCTAGATCTAGATCTTCTGCTGGATCTAGCTCTTCATCTAGTTCCTCAAAAGCTGTAAACCTACAGATACTGATCCTGAAAAATCTTATAGCATTCTGGAGCAAACTGGAGCTGACTTAAATCTGCTGGAGCTGGCTTAAATCTAGCCTCTTCTAATTGTCTAGATATTCAGATAACGAAGCCAAATCTATCTATTTATCTGGATATTTCTAGATCTACTTATCTATATTCTGAATGCGAATTCTGAATACAACCCCTGATTTAGATTAGATCCAAATTTAGATTCATTTGCTTGCCTAAAGGTTTCTAAGTCGAGTGTTGTTCTTTGTTTGCCAAAAACCCTCGATCTAGTGCACGATTTCCACACCCTTTCCCCCAGAAAGCACTCAAATTGCATATTTTCTATTATATGATTCGAGAATCGATTTTCTCTTTACTTTTTTTTTGTCGAAAGGCTCATCTTGATTGGCAGGACTGGATAGGGAACTTGGCTTTGACTTTTTTTTTTGTTTATCTTTGCGCTAAAAGTTGGAGAAAGTACTTGAAAAAGCTAAAAACTGATAAACTGATAAAGCTTAAATATTCCTCGACAAAATGACCAACTTTTAACGCAACAAAATCTATTAAAGTATCACAATTTAACAAGGGCATAGAGAAAATTAATCTGAAAGCAAGTTCTGGGTGAAGAAGAAGAGAAAAAGGTTGAAAAAGTTTGAAAAAAACACGAGAAATCTACAGTGAGTGAGCAGAGATTATCGGGGGGCAAATCTTTTTAATTCAAAAAAGTTACCACAAAATTTCAACATAAAATAGGGGCACCTTTTATAGAAAAAAGAGAAAACACTAGTTTGGCTTTGAAAAAGTTTTACTTTTGCTTACTTTGTTTACTTTTGAACTGGGAAAAGAAGACATTATCGCTATAAAATGAAAGGATTTCGTAAAATAAGTGATTTTTTGTTTTAAAGAGTCCCTAAATTTACCGTATAGCTGGGAAAGATGTACCGTAATCATCAAAGAAAAGAGAGAGAGAGAAAAAAAAACGGAAAACAAAGCATCTGCGTTAAATTGATTAGAGAAAGAGCTCATCGTTGGGGTAGTTTTAGCGACTTTAAAAAGGAGCACACTTTAGGGAAAGACTGGGATGGGGTATGGTAGATTTGGGTATGGTTTAAGAGATAGTAATCCTTGATAACCCTAATACTGTCGGGTTAGCAAGGACCATACGGTAGTAACCCTACTACTGTAGGGTTACTACTGTAGGGTTACTACTGTAGGGTTACTACCGTATAGTTAGCAAGGATTACTGTACTCTCAGGTTACTGTATAGCTGGAAATGATGTACGATGTAAGAAGTACATCGTACAGATGTAAGAACTAGCTGTAAGAACATCGTACAGATGTAACTAGCTTCTCTAAATCATTTCTCTAAACACACCCATTTCTACAGCCGCCCCATCCCAGAAAAAATGCATTTTCGATCAGCAATATGGTGGGATTAAGCAACAAAAGTTTAAGAATTAAGAAAAAAGGGAAATTTAAGCGAAGTACATGACGTTGTTTGCATCGGGATGTACTTGAACAGCTCGAGCCATATTTGAGAGAGTCGTGTCTTCTGAAGTACCCGATGGTTGAGAGCCTTCACCACTGAAAATTTAAGACATTAACTTTGACAAGAAACAACGATTTTAACAAGCAAATCCAAAAATTCAAAACTTTTGTGAATACCTTCGATTTGATATCGATGCATATTGAGCACTAGAATGCTTTTTTTTGAGCTTATACCTATCTCCTGACGAAGAGTATTGTAAGCTAGACTAATAACAATATTCCTAGTCTTGGTTTTGGTCTTAATCTTACAGTAGTCTTAAATAGCTAAAGCTTAAGAGCAGCTACAGTAGCTGAAGCTTAGTAGCAGCTACAGTAGCTAAAGCTTAATAGCAGCTACAGTAGCTAAATCTTACAGTAATCTTAAACGAGACTAACTACAATGCAACTACAGTATCCCTTGCACAATTAGACTAAGAAGGATGATTGGAATAATTGGGATGATTGGGAATGTCTTGAGGAAGGGATGATTGGGTCCCGTAGCCTTTTCCGATGATATATAGACCATTCGACGCAGAATTTCACACTGATTACAATGATGTAAAAATTAGCTGTCGAATGGCAGGTGATCACTGCCAAACTGGCATAAAAGTTTGGAGCCTCTCCTTTTAAGCCGATTTCTTTTCAACACGAATCGTTCATCGGTGACCGGGTGGTTGAACGGTTGTATAGAAAGCTGAGGGCCACTACCGTACTGCTTTACCGTACTGTTTTGCCGTACCTACCCTACTGCCCAAGTAATTTTTCTTTTCCCATTCACAAACCTGTCATGTTCACGATCGACCAAGTGGTACCGAGCGCGGAAAGCCACCAAATGGGCATAGTAAGCTGGAGCGGGGATCGACACCGAACGAGTGCAACGAACATAAGTGTGACACATTTGATATGTCAACTGTTGAAGCTCGTCAGCCGTCATATTGTTGTCATCCCAAAGCACGTGGTAGTGAGATGGACGAGATGTGCCCTGGAAGGTTATTCATGAGATTTGTCATTGGAAAATTGATTCAAAACGTGGACTTGGATATTTTAGCAATGTAAATTATCTAGATATCCACTAGCTATAAATTTTGGCTTTGCTACATGATTTTAGATACTAGTATTAGTTTTTAGATACTAGTATTCAATAGTTTATGTGTGATAGAGCTAAAGTTTTTTCCTCACCTGAATACCAGCATGCGAGCACAGATAGAAGTCGAATTCGGTTGGATGAGTGATTCCCACATCAACGGTGGTTCCCGGGGGAATGTTGAACGCTTTGCCGACCTGGAATTGATGAAATGTAGGTTTTAAACTTATTGATCTTTATCTGCCAGCAACTTAGATCAGAGTTCAGGTCCTGTTCTGGTCTGGAGCGGCTTTGCTAAAGATCTGACCCACTCTGTCTCTCTAGAACCTAGTCAGAAGCCATGGTATGACCTGGCCTAGCCCAGCTTACAGACTTTAGAGCCCAATTGAAACATCCCTGCCACCCATATCTGTTTTCATACCTGATCTTTCTTCTCGGTAGCAAAGAGTCTAGTGTGATGACGCTTCTGCACGGCAATGAAGGTGATTCCCGGTTGATATCCCCTCTCCAACATCATGCAAGCTTCACGCATCGCACGCAACTCGTATTGAAGCACCTGAAAAACAATTTGCACTGTAAAATCACACAACTTGAAGGTTAATTTCGAACTAAATTCGAGAATTGAGGCAATTTTTTAAAACCTTTTAAGCTTTTAATAGCTTTAAAGCTATTAAAGCTTTAAAGCTATTAAAACCTTTTAAGCTTTTAAAGCTTTAAAGCTATTAAAACCTTAAACTTTAAAGCTAAAACCTTAAACTTACATTAAAGAATTGTCCCTCTGAAACACCATCGCGATAAACGATGATACGGGTCGGTTTGAAACGAGTGTTTCGGTAGAATTGCACGAGAAGCTCGCGAACCATGTAGGTCAAATCGGAGATCATTTCTTGGCGGTGTTGTTGCACACGAACAGTGGCAGCATATCTGATAGAAAAGAATAGAATGAATTGAATCAAAAGATTGATAGCAAATCACATATTTGAGCTTAAGTTTACCTGCTCGGGTGAGCGTCCATCGATCCGACAACAGCGGCAATACTTGGCTTTCTCGAGTCTCCGGCCGGTGGGTGAGTGATGTCACAGCCAAGGAAGATCACTAAAGTTTGCATTGGCTTTAAACTTGAGAGAAAGATGTCTAGCTAGTTTATTTTAAAGTTTTGAGCTTGGTTTTACTTTTTAGAACAGGGCGACAGCGAATTCCGGCTTTTTTTGGACACCTCTCTTGAAAAAGTTGCTGGCAAACGCCTAACTTATTACCAAAGTGCCAAGTATTATATAGAAAAATAAAGCCCTCAATCTTGGCTACATTTATCTATTAAGAGTTTTCCGATTGGAAGTATACAACTCATTTTACAAGCTCTCAAATGAGCTCAAGTCGGCCTCACTTCGGTCGGCCATTTTTCACACTTTTCTTAACAAAAAGGTCTTACTATATAAGCTCTAGCGTCATATTTTTTGTTGAATGGTACTTTTAAAACAAAATACCACAAGTTTGATTGAAGAAATCCCTTCCTAGATGAAAATATTGTGTGTCAAAAAGTGTCAAAAACGACAGACCGAAGTGAGGCCGACTTGAGCTCATTCGAGAGCTTGTAAAATGAGTTGTATAATTCCAATTGAGAAGTTCTTTGTAGATAAATGATGCCAAGATGAAGGGCTTTATTTTTCTATATAACACTTGGCACTTTGGTAATAAGTTAGGCGTTTGCCAGCAACTTTTTCAAGAAATGGTCACCCTGTAGACACGCACTCTTTCTAGGCATAACTCTTCGTCAGTTGGCTCTCGCATTAAGTATGCCAGAAGCTGTACGTTTCTACGATAAAGCAATTTCTACGATAAGGCCTATAACTCATAGGTCACTTCAATTCCTACCTGGTTCATTGAAGATTCTCGGGCGAACAGTTGGGAGAAGAATCGAGTTCACTCCGCCAAGCTTCACATTCATTTTCAGACACAGATTCGAGAGTGTTTGTGGAGTGGTCTTGATCACATTCTTCGCTTGAACGCATTGAGTGGCGATTCCAAGCACCGTATCTCCAACACGTTTCACCTCAGCTAAAATTGAAGGATGAAATCGATTCTCTAAGTGTTCAAGAAGTTTAAAGATCCAGTGATTAAACGCCAAGCTTTAATATCTTTATATCATTTGAAGATTTCAAAGATATTTAGCCTTTTAGGCTAAATATCTTTTAGCCTTTTTAGCTATCCTGTGGTTAGGAAAGCTAAAAAGCCTGGCAAAGCTTTGCAGCTTAAAGCCAAGCTTCACAAAGCCAAAGGGCAGCTTAAAACTTTGCAGTCCATTTAGAGTTTTCTCCAGCTTACCGTAAACGGGAGTCTTTCCAGGCAAAACCACACAAACGAGTTGAATCCCTTGGAAGGTTTGCTTCAAGTACTTGAACATCGGCTCCACCTGATCGACACCGACAGCGTACCTAAAAATATTGATATTGTTTTGCTTGGTGATGGTTTAGGGCGAATATTTCGGTTTAGGGACAATGTTTAAGCTAATACACACTTGCAGAAGCATGGTTGCCCGATGATCGGCATTCCAGCGTCGTTCGAGATTCGCTGAAGTTGCGAGGTGAAATTGCGAAGATCGTTCTCTTTCACGTGTTGCTGTTGAGCGAAACAAGCGATCGCCCAAACCTGGAAGGGAATCACATAAAAATGATCTAGAGAACTGGTTGATCTAGAGAACTGGTTGATCTAGAGAACTGGTTGATCTAGAGAACTGGTTGATCTAGAGAACTGGTTGATCTAGAGAACTGGTTCATCTAGAGAACTGGTTCATCTAGAGAAGCAAAAACCCACCTTGACATCGATTCCGGTGTGGAATTGTTTCCCTCTCATATCCCAGACTCCTTGATTCGGCAAAGCGGTGGCTTTTGTTCGACCTCCATACAACAATTTTGGAGCCGACAGCACTCGTCCCTTCACTTCAGTCATTTGTGAGGTGATCGCAATGCCGAATTCTCGAGCATACGGATCACCGGCGAAGTCGGCTTTGCGGACAAGATTGCTGATCTCACGCTCGCGCTCGGGAGCCGATCTAGAGCAATGATTGTGTAAAAACATTTGCTATTATTATTTATTCCAGATCTAAGCCTTGCCATCTTTTGTTAATCATTTCAAAACATTGACAATTTCAATCTAAATCTACCCTTAAAAGTTAACTCGTAGACACAAGGCACAAAACTTCTTGCCTCTATTTTTCCGTCAAATTCTCACCTTGCTGTAGCCTTGATCATTGTCGATGTCTGAGTATCAGTCAGCTTTTTGATGCAGCGTTGTCCGGCCACGATTTGACAAACCTTAAAATAGAAATTTTTGAGGATAAGTTTTATTTAATGTTAAGCCAAAAAATCCCACCTCTGGCGGCAAATAGGTGTGCTTTTGCTCTTGGCCGACTTGAAGACACGGGAGATGCGGGTATTTGAGCGTCATCCGGTATTTATCGTAGAAGTACTTGGCCACCGTGCACTCGATCGTTTGACCGGTCTCGAGTTGGAGTGGGAAAGTCTGGAAATCGGTTTGTTTTAGGGTTCAAAATATCCATAGAGATATCCGATAAAGATATCCGCAATCCGACGCACTGGTTAGGTTACGCACATTCTGTGGTTTTGCAAAAAAACAGCGAGAAAAATTAGGGACGGAATCGAACTAGCAAAATTACCTGTGTCTGTGCCGGGCGTCGAGTCACATTGCACACACGGTAACGACGACGCATCTGGCCACAGTGAGTGATCTCGATCTTCAAGCCACGAATCTCCTGTAAAGGTTTTATTTGTACAAATTTGCAACTCATATTTGCAATTGGTCATTCATTTAACTAGCAAAAAGTTCGAAATTCGAAGTTTGAAGTTTTACTGTTCAAAAAGATTCCTACTTAAAGTTTGTCAGGCTTGAAAGTTTTAAAGTTTACTGGTTTACTGCTTTACTGCTTTACTGCTTTACTGCTTTACTGGTTTACTGCTTTACTGCTTTACTGCTTTGCTTTACTGGTCTACTGCTTTACTGATTTACTGGTTTACTGGTACTCTAAACTGATAAAAGTTAAATTTTAGATCATTTTCTTCCTTCCTTCCCTTCTTTTTCAATCAAAAAACAGCTCACCTTTGTGAATTTTACTCGTTGCGCATCGGAGAGAGCACGTCTCTCAGCTAAAGCCTGAACTGGCAACTCCAGCACCTCGGCGATGAACTCAATCACTCCCATTTGACGGTAGAAAGCGGTAGCCGAGACTAGAAATTGAATTCGGTAAGTTTTCTTTTGTTCTTTTTTTCTTGAGTAACTCTAGAGTTCTCTTAAATAACTTTAGACTTTATTGAGTCTTTTTTTCCTTTTAAACCCACCATCGATATTGAGCATCATTTTCCATTGACTTGGACGCACACTCTGATGAAAACCGAACCAAACTTCTCGTCCACCACCCAGTTTACTCTCTGTGTGATATTGACCGTGTTGTGGGGTATGATGTGGATGAGCGGGTGGAGTGAAGAAAGAACGACCGACAGGAGTGTAGCTAAAAGAAGATCGGTCTCAACTCAAGATCTCAACTTGTCTCAGAGTCTCAGACTCGTGAAAGCTTTTTATGATCTATTTCTTACCGGAGACTAGGCAAATGGCGAAGAATGACATCCATCGCTTGAACGGCCTCAAAGGGAACTTGACGAATTCGTCCCTCCATTGCATCCTCGAGACTTGATAGAGAGACTTGACCAGCCCATTTCACGCTGACACGGAATTGCCGCTCGACAGCGGTGTCTCCTGGCAGAGTCACCTAGAATAGAAAGATCATCAAAAGAAGCTCAAGCTCTTAAGCTTCAGCTCTTCAGCTCAAGCTCTTAAGCTCAGGCTCTTAAGCTCAAGTTCTAGGCTCAAGTTCTTAAGCTCAAGTTCTTACGCTCAAGCTCTTAGGCTCAAGCTCTTAGGCTCAAGTTCTTAGGCTCAAGCTCTTCAGCTCAAGCTCTTACGCTCAAGCTGTTACGCTCAAGCTCTTAAGCTCAAGCTCTTAAGCTCAAGCTAAAGCTAAAGGAGATCCGATCCGAAGCCGCTAAAGACTTCAATCAATCTATTTCCTTTGCTTGTTCTTGCTTTGCCTTGCTTTGCTTTTTTCCTTTGCTTGTTCACTACTTGTTCTTTAACTTCAAGTTGTTTTAGCTATTTATGAAAGCTACCATGCTCATTATTAGTTTAGAATTGTCAAATTGTAATCTCTAAGCCTACGTAAAACCAAAAAACATGCTCAAATGTTTTCTCGATGAACCCAATGAGAAATTGTTGTCCGAATTGCCGTCAACAATCCTCTTCACTCACCTCAAACTCCATCTTGTCTCTTCCGATTTGCAAGAGATCTCTCGTATACATATTGCGCTTTCCATCATACACCGGACTGCACTGTTGAAATGAGCGTTGATAAGCGGAGATCATTGTGGCCACAATTTCACTGGAAATCACTTCGTTAGGAAAAGCGATAGCCCATTTTTCTTTACCGATTCACTCTTCTTGGACACTTATCAGGCTGAATGTCGATCTGATAGTGCTGAATGTTTCCACCGGGAATGTGAACGCGGAAATGATTTGCACGAAGCATGATTGGACGACCCTCAACTCCTTGACCCGGTCGACGAGGGCATTGAAAGGAGACACCGCTGCCTTGCAAGCTGAAATTGAGGCCTAGGCTGGATAATGAGCTGGATAATACAGTTGGCCTAGGCTGGATAATGGGCCTCATAGCTTTTCAGATCTGCAAAAACTAACGCTGGCAATCCGGCTTGTGTCTGTTGTCCTTGAGAGCTTCCTTGTTGTTGGGAGAGATCTTGACCGGACGGGCCACCAATCGGGCCACCAGGTGCGAGACTCGTTTGTCGTTGCTCGTACGGCTGACCACCGCCACCGCCAACTCGTTGCGTTGGAGCTGCTTGGTTCGAGCCGAAGATTTCCTGAAAGTTTGCTTTCATTCATTCAAAATCAAAAGGCATTCGCTTCCCACACTAGCTAGAGCTGCAGCTTCTAATTAGAGCTGAAGCCTCTAGTTAGAGCTGAAGCCTCTAGTTAGAGCTGCAGCTTCTAATTAGAGCTGAAGCCTCTAGTTAGAGCTGAAGCTTCTAGTTAGAGCTGAAGCTCATAATAATCCAGCCTCTTTTGATGAGGACTGGGATGAAGCTGATCAGGACAAGAGTTCTGTCACCTCATTTTTTGGGACTATGCCATTAAACCTTGCTTCTAGATAGTTTAAAAGTTCTACTATTTTCTATGATATTCTTCATTGAGTTGAAACAAAATTCAGTTTTTGAGCTTTGGTCAACTTTAATTGACAGAGCTTTTAACGTACCCTGTATATCTACATGAATTTATTAATGATTCAAACGGTTATACAAGTTTTAACTTTATGAAACTAGCTTGACGAAAGTTTTTATGAAACTAGCTTGACGAAAGTGCGCTATCATACCTGTATCAAAGGGTGCGAACTTGGTTGAAATGGTGGCTGTGTTGCCTGGATGAACGGAGCGGCCATCGTTGTCGGAGCACTGAGAAATGGTTGCATTCCGGCGGCCATAAAAGAAGAATTCATCATTCCAGCTGAGTGGTCGTTGAACGCAAAGTCGTCTGGAATTGATAGATCTAGCTGGGTACTTTGTTTTTTGACCATAAATCATTAAGCCTACACCAGAAAGGATGCGTTAACAATAGCACCGAGAACAGCAGTTTAAACAGCAGTGAACAGCAGTAAACAGCAGTTTAACCAGCAGTAAAACTCACTAAGCATATTCATCACCGCCAATTGTTGATCACCGGCAGTGGTCATTTTTTGGATAAGCGAATCGAGATGAAATGAGAGATTTTGGTGGTGAAAGCCTCGAATTTGAGCAAATGCGAGAAATAAGGCAGCCGGATGAGATCAATCAAATGAATTGAATCGAATTGAAGCTCTCGTTTAGGAAATTGGGAGAACCGATCACAGATTTTGAAGTGGCTTTTTTGAACGAATGATTTTGCGAATTCGATTTCTGAATCCAAAGAGTTCTTTGTTGTTCTTTGTTGTTCTTTCTAGATGATTCAGAGATTCTACTAGACGAGCATCGTCGAAAAAACACCTGAAAATGAAGGAAATGAAGGATTTTGTGTCAAAAATTGTTTAGAAATTTGAATTAGAAAACATAAAAGAGAGAAAAGTAGAAAATTTTAAAGAAAAGAAAGAATCGAACGTAGAAAAATCTGGCCTAAATTTTAACTAATCAAATTTTAACTGCACTGGGTTGTTTACTATGTTAGAAAACGCGTATTACTCATCATTGGATCAAAAAACATCATTGGATCGAGCAATTAAACCGTTTTGTCTTGTCGTTTACCGTTTAAGACTTGACTTAAACGACTTAAAGACTTAAACCGTTTAAGACTTGTTGAATGTTTGTCTATTTGTCTATATCAAATGGGTGGAAATTAACTAGTGAAGCTGAGAAGCTGCTGAAACAGCCAAGTTTAACATGAAAGTAAAACATAAACATAACAAAACAAAGTAAAAGCTCCTACTCTGGTGGCAAACGTGTCGGTGGAGCTCATTGGTAGAGCGCTGGCCCGGTCAGCGAGAGGTCGCGGGTTCAAATCCCGGTGTCGACCATCTCTTCCCAGCCTCAACCCAGAAAAGGATCGACGTGTTCAGCTTTAAGCATTACATGGCTACCAGCAGATACGATCCCCAGGCTCACAAGAAATCAATAAAACGTCAACGCCCTCAAATGGCAGCTTTTAGAAACGACAAAGAAGAAAGGGCAAAAAGAAGACGACGAAACAAAAAGATTTTTGTGTGTTGTCTTCAGGGGAGAAGAAAAGAGAAAAGGAAAGGGATGAAGAAAGGGAAAATGGGAAGGGATAGGAGAGGATCGGTGTCGCGGGGTGACGACCGCGACGCGTGCGGGTGGCCCGTGCGCACGTATGTACCACGCTGTGGCGGGGGGTCGACGAGAGATTGTGAGTGGAGGGGAGGAGTGGGGAAGAATGCGGAAGAGAGATTGGCAGAAGGTTGACTGAATGAATGGGAAAAGAAACGAGAGAAGAGAAGACCTCAATAGAGAGAGGAAAGCGCTGGTGAGTAGGGGGGAAGAGTGATGTCTGGGTGGAAGAGGGATGAGGCTTGAAAACTCGCTAGAGGAGGGGTGAATTGATGCTTGTGACAGGTAGAGAATTGGAGGATGAGAGACCAGGCTCTTTTAGAGAAGGATGGGATGAAGAGGGTGAGTGAGGGATAGCTTTGTGTCGTGGACAAAAGACAAAAGCATCAGAGGACAGCGGCAGTTGGCAAAAGTGGACAAGAGATCTTTTGCGTGAAGGAAAAGATGAATAGAGAAACTAGACGTTGGAATGGAAAGAATTCACTTATGAGAGACGCAAGGGTTCTAAAGAAACAGCTCCCTGTTGTAGAACCCAGAGAATAACACAAAAATTCTTTTCACTTGTAGAGAGCTCACCGAAAGCACACAGTAAACCAAGACTCAGACAGAAAAAAGAAAATATATTGAAGAACTCTTTGCAAGGAGAGAAAAAGCAAGAAAAAGATGAGGGAATAGAATGGAGGGAATAGAATAAGAGAGAAGGCAGATGTGTCCGCCACACAAACGACAGGGAACGGTATTTGATGGGAAAAGGGGACTCTGACCGATGAGTGGGGATCGGCTGAAAAGAGAATCTGAAAAGAAGGGGACAATCTCGACCCGACAAGTAGCCAGAGGCAACGAGCGGTCAATTGGGAATTGCTTTAACGTTATTTGAATGACCTCTTGGGAGCACGTGACTGAGATATAAAAGTTTGGATTTGGGAAAGTTGATTGTATATATGTTACGTCCGAATCTGATCCGGACGTCAGGATCCGACCAGAATGAGTGTGGTTGAATTCGGACGTCCAGATCAGATCCGGATGCCTGGTCGGATTCGAAAGTAACATATATACTTAAATGAATAAGTAAACCAGGAAAATTTGCATACAATAGAAAAGAGGGAAAATATTCTTGACAATAAAGAAATGTAGAGCGTAAACTGGTGGAATGATAAACTCAAAACGGGTGGAATAATAAACTATCATAGCTTCACAATAGGGACAAAAATAGCAATTATTGTGGTAGACAAGAAATTAATTGTTTAGAAACGGGAAAAGATGATCAATTTTTAATGTTAATTGGTCGGGAATCCTATGCGCGAGCAATTAAAGCAATTAAAAGCATTGCTTGTGCATTAAAAGCATTGCTTGTGGATTAAAAGCATTTAAAAGACTGTGAAAGTTTAATAGGGACATTAGAAAGGGATCTGGGACACTTAAAAGATATGCCTCTTCTGGAGGAGGAGCTTTAGGCAGATGGAGGGAAGAAAATAGCAGAAAGAGGATCCGAATGTTTGCACTTTAGGATTTTAAAACATTAAACATCAAATCAAAACAACATCTAGCTAAGATCGATGAATATGAGGAGTTGATTGCTATGTGGAGGCTTTTTCGGCATTTGCTCACAAATTTGCTCACTGCTCACTTGCTCACTTGCTCACTACTCACTTGCCCACTGCTCACTTGCTCCCTTGCTCACTTGCTCACTTGCTCACTTGCTCACTTGCTTACACACAAATTTATAGCGCTATCTTAAAGCTATATCTTAAAGGGTTACAAGCTTTTGCTTTTTCGAATCGCTTACTATTAGCTGAATCGTAAAAGTCTTTAAGTCGAGCTTTAAAAGAGTCTAAAATGATATGCAGTTTGTATTCTAGTGATATCAAAACCCTGTACTCTTAGTGAGCAATAACTGGCATCCGGGCAACAATTTCTAGCTAAAAGTACGACTACTTACTACATTTCAATAGAAATCATAGAAATCTTTGTATAGAAATACAAAGATTGCACTCTAATACAAACAAATTGTCTAACAATCTAACAAACAAATTTTCTAGCAAATTGTCAAGGCAATTATTTACGCTATATCCGAACACCGTTTTTTTTTCCTTAATAGTCATGCACCCAGCACCGCCAAGTTGATGACTATTTTATGGTTTCCAAGTTTTCACAGAAACTCAACACTCTAATCCCCCGCAAGATCTGACCGTCAGCTACATTTTCCGACCCCACATCGATAGGTTCTGATAAGCGGTTCTCGAGATTTTGAGGAATTTAGGCGAAGCAATTTTGGTGCACTACTATTAGGGAAAATCCGATAAATACATTTTGCTCTGATCCCTGGCCTAGATCAATAGGTCAATAGGTCTAGGTCAATATCTCCAAACACTCTAAGCTACTTCACTGAACTGACCAGAAATCTCAAGACTTACGGGGTTGTTTCAATTGGTTCAATTCAAAAAAAATTCCATGTATTGAAAGAGATCAACTTTGCGGAGTTTGCCCTCCTTTAGCTTGGAGCTTAGGCTTAGGCTCCAAGCCAAAAGAACTATTTGAACCAAATAGAGCTATTTGGCTTGAAATTTGAGCCTAAAAATGGTGCGAGAAAATCTCAAAAAATCTCCACTGCACTACTATTAAGGAAAATACGGTACAGATTTTCGTGCTCTTGGCCTTCACCACATAATGACTTTCGGATAAATTTTAGCAACAAAACACATAAAGATACAGCTAGTTTGATTGAAAACTGACTCAAGACAAGATGACGGTACTTTTCCTAAAGATATCCCGATTTAAGGAAACGTTTTTTTGAGTTGAACAAATGCTTGTTTATCCAATTCAACTTGCGCATACCGTTAACAAAAACTAAGTAGCTAAATAAATAGCTAAATAGCTCATTGAAATCCAAATCTTATGTAAAAAAGAAAGTATTAAAGAACTCGAAACGTCAGCAATCAAAATGTTTGCAATCAGCACTTGCGATCAAACGAATTCAGCAATTCTTCACTCAAACGTCAATATTTCAACACTATGTAGAAACAGATGAATCAGAATATGCCTGACTTTCAAATAAAACCCCCAGCTGATCGTTGCGTAAAGTGTTTTTTTCCAAAATACTGACAAAAGGTTGGAAAAAGAGAAGAAAATCGAAATGACTCATTCTGCCTCATTGGGAGAAAGGAGAGAGAATGACGTAAGTGTTCGACTTTAAAGCATCGATTTTTTTCTCTTCAATGATAATCCGTTACAATTCTATTCTATTCTATTCCTTTGCGTTTTCAAATGTGCAATGCCTTTGTTGCTTTGGAGAACTACAAAGATAATCCGTTGCAATTCTATTCTACAATTCTATTGTAGAATAGAATTGTAGAATAGAATTGCTATCTATTGCTTATCTATTGCTAAACCAATCCTCAAAAAGCTTCTTAAATTCTTAGACTTTTGACAGACTTGATGCTGGCCGAAGTATAACAAAATGTAGCAATAATCTTTCAATCCAATTGCTTCAAAATACCTTGTGACTAAAAAGTATGTAAAGAAATCGTATGTAAAAGTTTACAAATGTTAGGAAGGTGTTTACAAATGTTAGGAAGGTGTTTACAAAGATTAGAAAAGTAAAGTTCTTTGCTCTTTACATACTAAAGAAGTAAAGGAATTGACAAGAAAGTAAAGTAAAGAAGTAAAGGAATTTCGGAGAGGGGTTTGAACGTAGGGAAGAGGAGGACTTGCTTGAATTGAATTGTTTTTTGCTTTGCTGCAATTTGCAGGCAATTGCTTTAACCACTTCTTCCTTGCTTCTTCCTTTCTTCTTCCTTTCTTCTTCTTTTCTTCTTCCCTCTTGTCTTTCCTTCTTTCTCTTGGCAAATTAAGCTACCGAATATTAAGCTATTCAAGAAAGAAAGACAAGAGGGAAGAAGCAAGGAAGAAGAAAGGA